CAACACAATCGACCAGAGAAATGCCCCTGGGCGCACAGAACACCGTTCCGAAAAAGATACAAACCAACGGACGACATCTCCTGCTCGCATTAACGCCCTCAAGCTGACATCTGCAAACGCACGCTCATCCGTCCTCCGGCTCGCCTCGCCCCGTCCCCTCTCTCCCTCATCCCTCACATCACACACACACACAAAAGAGGCATGCTCTCCCACGCGCCAACAATCTTGCTAAAAAGTCAAAAAGGTTCGGGCGATTTCTCCGTCCGGCCTGTCCCTGGCTCACCTTCCTTCCAATGTTGCTTCTCTCCCGCCCAAAGCCGCAAAACGGAAACCGGTAAACGCAGCAAGGCAGAATGCCTGGGGAGATCAAACCAAGAACAACCCTTTTCGAACCGCCCGACCCGCCTTCGCTTCATCGGCATTCGGCAGGGTACCGTGGCATGCCATGCCCATGGCCGCCCAGCACGAACAAGGCCCAGCGGGGGCCAACATTACATTCTATTTCCACGGCCAACGCAGACGCCGCGGCAGCGCATCGTGACTCGTGAAGATCGAAGGCGCGGCGACGACTCGGCGAAGTGAGGGGCTGCCGGGCTCCCTTTCTTGCTGCCGTCTTCTGTTTCCGTGTCATTCGCGTTGACAATGTTGAACCATCTGATGCGAAATGCGTGGGGGGCGCCCTGCGGCCAGCGTGCTGCATACTGCATGCCGCATGCTACACACAGTCTTGGTACTACACTTCGGCCGCCGCAATGCCTGAGCGCGCCGCTGCTGCATCTGCCGCCGTATCTGCAGCTGCAATCTGTACGATACCGGGTCGCGCTGATGCGCGATGGATGACTGATGTGCGCTGCACTGCACCACCAAGCGCGATAATAAGACAAGTTGAGGTCGGGTGGTGGCTCCTCATCATCCACGACTAGACCGGTCATATGTCCGTCCCGGGCTGGACGAATCTCCCGCCTCCGTCCATCCCCTTTTCCTGCGTAATTATATTCGCAGAGGTCACTAATCAGCAAATAGGCGCTGTTAGCAGGGAGAAGGAAAGAGGAGCAAAAAAAAAAAAAAACGGTATTAATCGGCCTCACACCAACGCCGCCCCGTTCCCGCTCCTGGCTTGCCGTAAAAACGCCACATGTCCCCAACTCGGGAACTGTTTGGCCTGCCGGGCTGCAACTAGTCCCGGGCGCGTCAACCGGTACGCAAGGGCCAGCAGATTCTTCTTGACTGCATGCTGCTGCTGGTCCTGCGTTCGTTGTTGCTCGTGCCTCTCTTTCTTTCAGCTCGACAGGGCAGGGCTTATTTCGAACCGCCGACGCCGTTGGAATGCACGGGAGGGAGGACGATCGGCGACAACAACTTTGTTGCTGTGTTAAACCTTGTTTCGAGTCCCGGCAAACACATTACACAATGGCTGAGGCAGAATGAAGTGTCTCGGTCAATACTGGCTGTAGAGACGGTGTGTCGGCTCTGTCTTGTGCAATGTCCGAAGCCCGCAGAGGCAGGCACCCAGCGAAAAGCCTTGCCTGAAGCCTCTCCTTCACGGCGGTGCAACGACGCCTGAACGCCCAAACGCCCCAGTGGACAATACCCAGCGGCTTGGGACTCCAGAGGAGAGGTGGCATTGAACCAGCCCTGCTGCTGCGGTGGCCCGTCAGCTGTCAAAAATCGCACATCGCAATCCTCGACATTGCCATCATTCGACACCCCTGTCCGGGAGTGGGAACACTAGCTCGTTCAATAACCCTCCCCCACCCGGTACGGCTGGTGACCCCCGACGCGGCTTATGCCATCATGGGCGGCGGCGGGCTTGCCAGGGCCCTGTTGCTGCCAGCTTTCTGCAGTCCTCCAGCCAAGGCCTCCGATATCCCTGGGACGTCCTGGAAGAGCAGCCTGTGGAGGTGCAAGGTGCCGGGCCCAACGTGTTGTCCACGATGATAGTCTTCGCACCGTCTGGTCGAACTGGCGGACCTATCGCAAAGAGGTCAAGGCGATGGCGGAGAGCGAAGCAAGTCGGTGAGAGTGAAAGAAGAAGCCTCACGGAAAAAGAAAGAACGAACTCTCTGAAGCGAAGAGGAAAGGTTGGGGTTTTCGAGGAAATGAGGAGCGTCCGTGAGCGCAGGTTCGTGGAGTCAACAATGTGGCGTTCAACGATGTGCCTCCTTCGCGCCCAATAATCTTACCCGGCAAAAACCAGGGATTGGAGGTGCCCGGTGTTCGGGCGGCACCCGTGGTCACTGGTGCCATTATACGGCGTCTCTGCCCAGATCTGTAATCACAGCGCAAGATGAAATCGCGAAAGAGCCAAGCGCGGTTTTAGCGAAGTGCTTCCAGCTTCGTCTTCTGAAGCCTGAAGGTGGACTTTCATCAACCCCTGACCTGAGTTCCCCTCCCCACCTGCACCAGCTAGCATGCGCTTGACATCAGATCATTGAGCGGGCATTGTCAGCTGAAATCTCTGATCTCGCGGTTGGCTACAGTGGACGCGGCGCTCAGGCAGCCGAGCAGCAGCAGCAGCAGCAGCAGCAGCAGGCCATCGGCCGATACGCGGAGAGAGCGCTGTGTCCTCCAATGGAACCCCCCTGCCCACACCGGTCGGCCGCAATTCCAGCGACGTCTCGTGTGTTGGGCGGTGAGCCGGACACTCCGGGCAGATGAGAAAGAAAAAAACGGGGGACCTGGGCGATGGGCACATTGTTGTGGAGCCGAATGCCTCGCGCCTTTCATTTGAGCCTCCCATCTCCTTCATCCGAACGGGTTCGACACAATTCCCGTGGCATGGTTGCCATGGGGAAATGCCCCGGACTTAGTGCAACGGGAACGAACGACGGTAGCAGCAGGAACATTGTCAGACAAATCAGAGAACATGCGCACGTCAACATAATATGGCGTCATAGTAGAAGAGATGTTGCCCGTTCTTCATGCACCAGAGCTATCGAGACGGAAAGCGACATAGGTGTTTGGTAATAGAATGGCAGAATTTGATCTTGGCACGTTAAAAAATTCCTTCAGCAAGAATGGCACAGAGAGAAGCCCATTGCTGTACACACATATGCCGTGTTTTGTTGTCATCATCCGCGAATGAGGCGGACAATATCATGATGTCACAAGCTGCTGTTGTTTTGAGTGTTTGGTTAGTGAGCCACGGCAAATTCAATTGCCTGCCTGGCCAACCCCAGATGGGATCGGCGGTGTTTGCGTGTCCAGCAGGATCAATCATCACGCCAACTGCTGCGGTTCTGTCGCACTCGCGACCCAGCTAGAAGGCGACCAGAAGTTCCGTCTCCCAAAGGGAAATCAAAATCCGAAACGACGCCAACGCAGGCCATGGAACGGCACGACGAATGAACCCCGAATGTTTTGGGTTCGCTACGCTTGTTTCCAAGGCAGGGCCGGCTGATATGGATGTGCTGAGGTCTTGTGCTGATGCTGCTGCGACACTGGAGAGGGGGTAATCGAGATTGCGCGCATCATCATTTGGCGCAGGGTAGATAACGCGTCCTCTCGTCCTATCGGGGTTTTGCGCTGATATGAGGATGACGGGCAAACGCCGCAGGAGGAGGTCCACACGGGCGCCGCGTCAACATGGTTGAACGACGGCGCGCGAGTGTTTGAAGTGTATTGCTGTCGCAACACCAGCTTCCTAGGCGGGGAGGAGGGGGGAAAGGTTGGTGATGACTGATGGGATGTGAAGGAGGAAGGGTTTGCTAGGAATGGGCGTTGCGGCAGAGTTTTTTTTTGAGGCAGAGGAGGTATGCAGAAGTGGGGCGTCAGGACGGGAGAGGGCACCACGCACGCCGCAGGCCATTGTTCGGGAGGTGTCTCGGCCCGATAAACCCTCACCTTCAAGACACGCGCTGTGCGGCCGGTGTGGGCCTCCGCTGGAACAAGGGTCTCCCACGCTCCGCTCCTGCCGTCGCCGATGCCGAATCTGATCGGGAGGGGACACAGGCAGGGCGGGCAGGGCAACTTGCGAGTTGGGGGGGAAATAAACAATATTTCTGAACGGTTGCTATATGACGATCGCAGCGTATGCATGGCAACTGACTCCCAAACGTGCTCAGCCTCTGGAAGATCTCACTTCGGATAGAGGGTGTCGCCCACAACGTGAGTCGTGAGGCGTAGTATTTGCTGAGCCACCTCGTCTGGCCCAATCCAAACAGCTCACAGTTCCAGGGACACCCCCTCCAACACCTGAGGAACCCATGATGCGCGAATGGTTCTCCCGCTTTTGTCGCGTTCGATGCGAAAAGGAGGCCCCTGCACGCGACCTGTTTATATATCTTGATTAAGGGGTCCTCGCAGTTTCACCCTCGACATTGGACCGCTGCCTTCAGCTTCCCTTCCCCAGCTTTCAGGGAACCCGTTGGGGGCAACGCATGAATGAGGCGGGAGCTGTAGGGCGTAGCCCAATTTGACATACGAGGCTCTTGATTGACACGATATGTGTGCACGGCAGACTTTGTCCCTGCAAGACCACATTCGCCAGTACAATATTTGAACCCAGACGTGAAAAGTGAACTTGTACGAGGCCGACAATTGCAAACCATCTCAGAGAAGTGTTAGTGCGGCAAATCCGTAGCCGGCAGCAAACAAGCGCTACGAGACAGAGTTTCCCGCAGGTATTGGTGACACACACATCAGGTGAGGCTGAGAGTCGTGTTTGAGTGATGATCGGGCAGGAAACTCAAAGACGTCGTCTGAATTGTCCCATCCATTCACTTTGGTGTATGTAAAAGTTGCCACCGCAAGCTCCTCTAAGAACTACCGCGAAGCGTAATGGCAACTAATGGTTGGGCGGTGACAAGTTTTGAATGAAATGTCACTCCTTGTCTCTGATTGGCCAATACACGGCCAACCTCCGGTTTTCTTCCCGATGCCCGCCTTAGAGCCGGTCTTCAACTCTCTGCATCTCCTTGATGTGCCCAGCAATTTGTTTTTGGACAGAAAATCAGCTCTAATAGATTCTTAATATTAATGCTTCAACTATACGCCCAAAGATGTCCGCCCTCTCAACAAACGCAACGTCCAAGTCGGACTTGGCCCAGCACCAGCAACATCCTCCCGAGAAAACACACGGTGCCGGTGCAAGTCGTGATATTGAGCAGCAGCCAGATCTCAGGCAGGATGGAACAACAGACGATACATCTACTTTCAAGTCTCTCGGTGTTCTCGACCGCTTCCTGGCAGTATGGATCTTTCTCGCAATGTTGATCGGCATCCTTCTGGGAAACTTTGTTCCAAATGCCGGACCGGCCTTGCAGCAAGGCAAGTTTGTCGGCGTTTCCGTTCCCATAGGTGAGTCTATACATGAATGATTGTGCTGCATAAAAACCGAGTCTCTGACCTAGTCTAGCGGTTGGCCTGCTGGTGATGATGTATCCAATCCTGTGCAAAGTGCAATACGAAAAGCTCCACGAAATATTTCGCACGAGAGAAATCTGGATTCAGCTCGGTTTCAGCGTCGTCATAAACTGGATCATTGCGCCCTTTTTCATGGTAGGTGTTGCATCAGATCCTACTCGTACTGTAATGCTGACCTCCGACCAGCTTGCCTTGTCATGGGCATTCCTGCCAGACAAAGAGGGCCTGAGAAACGGTCTTATTCTCGTCGGCATAGCAAGATGCATAGCCATGGTGTTGATATGGACAAGTTTGGTTCGTCGCAACGCTCCCCGCACATATCTTTTCATGTACTTACCGATGTTCAGGCCAGAGGAGACGGCAATTACTGTGCCATTCTGGTGGCTGTCAACTCGTTTCTGCAAATCGTCCTCTTCGCGCCCGTTGCCTTACTCTTCATACGCGTCATCGGCCGCGACAACAGCATCTCGTCGATATCATATTCGACAGTCGCATCTGCCGTGGGCGTATTTCTTGGGATTCCTCTCGGCGCCGCAATAGTTACCCGCCTCGTGCTCCTTCACACCGTCGGCCTCAAGACGTACACCACCAAGATCATTCCCTTCCTGGCCCCGTGGTCCCTCATCGGTCTCCTCTACACGATCATCGTCCTTTTTGCCTCTCAAGGCTCACAGGTTGTCCACCAAATCGTGTCCGTCGTCCGCGTGGCAGCCCCGCTGGTCGTCTACTTCTCCGTCATCTTCTCCGCCACTCTCCTGGTCGCCCGCAAGCTAGGCTTCCGTTATGGACTTGCTTGTACGCAGGCTTTCACAGCAGCCAGCAACAACTTCGAGCTGGCCATCGCCATTGCGGTGGCTGCGTACGGCCCAGACTCGGACGAGGCGCTGGCCACGACTGTCGGCCCTCTGATCGAAGTGCCGGTACTCCTGGCCCTGGTATACTTCGTCAAGTGGTTCGCCAGACGGCACGGCTGGGAGGACTAGGTCAGACTTGGGCGATGCAGTGGAATGCACGCATTCCACATGCCGGTGTCATGGGTCCAAGAGCGTGCTGCAGCTAGCAAAGTTCGCGGGTGAGACGGGGCCGACGGGCTTGGACGGTTCATAAACCAGCGTGTGAGTTGTCTGGTGCAACTTTAATCAGCGTTTAGTAGTGTGAAGTTACTCCTAGAAGCCGATCCAACAGACAACGTGTCAGTAGAAATCGAAAAAGAGCTTTCGTTGCATCCAACGGTAGATATCACTTCGCCGTAGAGAAGTGCGTGTTGATGCCAGAACAGTTTCGCGAGCGCGGACCCTGTCACTGAGCTGTCCAGGACCCTGAAGCGAGATGCGGGGACCTCTAACGAGTGAACCCCTGCCGGGCCTTAGCGCACGTTGCACCAAGCTGAGGTGACACAGAAGCCCAAGCTCCCTGTCGGACAGTCCAATTGCCCCAGACAGGGCTCCGTCCTGACTCCGACCGCCGTTTGTAACCATCGTCACTCAACGACCTGCGAACCTCTACGACCTACAATCTTGACGTCTCTCACCTCACGCGTACTCGAAAACAAACACTTACCACAACGACAAGGGCACAATCGCCAGCAATTGACCTCCTACAAACTCGTGCGCTTTCTCGATTTCATCATCCACACCCACGCCCCGAACCTCTTATCGTTCGAAGCAGCTCCGCGCCGGAGCTCCCCTCGCGATCCCGCCATGGAGTCGCTTCCACGCGAGCTCATCGACCTCATCATTCAACAATGCATCGCTCTCGGCCCCCGAAACTTCGTGTGTGATCTGCGACTAGTGTGCAGGGCATTCGACCGCTACCTCAAGCCCTACGCGTGCAAGACAATCGCTCTCGAGTTCAGCCGACTGAGCAAGACGAGTCGCCGCCGCCAGCCCGATATCGATGCCCTCCAGACGATCGGATACCACTGCAAGTCCATGTATATAGACCTTATGGTCCTTCGCGATGAGCGTAAGGTATTTCCCGTCACATCACGCGTGCCAATGCTGACCCTCGCCAGTGGAGGTCGAGTTCCTATCGACAATCTTCGATCGCATACCTTCCATGAAACCCTTCGTTCAAACCCTCCAGCGCGAGTACTGCATGTCGCCATCCTCGTTCACAACTATCGACTACCGCAATACTGTCGACACGATCCTATTCAACTGCCAATTCGTCAACTCCCTCCGCCTCAACCTTCCCTTCCAGCTCGTTGGCCACCGCTGCAATGCCGCGACAATGATACTCGCCAACACCTTCTCCGCCTTCTCCCGTCGACCCGAAGACTCCGTTGCCCTAAAGACCCTTGTCCTCGAGAACGTATCAGACCAAGCCGTTGTCGACCTCTGGACGAACCCCTCCGACGTCCTCGCCATCATGCGCGCCATCCTCGAGCTCGAGCACCTCGTCATCTCCTTCCGCCGCCACGAAGTCGACCCCCCGCGAGTAGCCTTCTTCTCCACATGTCTATGGGACCTCATCCGCAATGCCGACGTTCTTCAAACCCTCTGTCTCGCTGGCACCGACGACGACCGCCCCCCGCGCGGTCTGAAGCAGACAAAGGCATGGAACATGACCCTCGACGAATGGCGCGCCCGCGCCCTCCCCCCGCCACAAGTCATACTCCCCTGCCTAACGGCCCTCGAGCTCAAGCGCGTCGAAGTCACCCCCGAAGTCCTCCGCTGTGCTGCCCGCAACTTCGGCTGCACGCTTCGCGAGTTCTACCTGAACGAGGTCTACCTCAAAGCCGAGCAAGGCCAGAACCTAAACGAGGACTCTAAGCAGATTCTCTGGATCGGCCTGCCGAACCAGCGCCCTGGTCTCGACGACGACTGGATGGCGATGACCATTCGCGAGTCCTGCCCGAAACTCCAAATCTGCCGCGCCTCCTTCCTCGGCTACGACCTCTACACTCGCGACGACTTGCCCCCATCTCCCGCTCCTTCGTCGCCTGACTTTGACTTTATCGACCCCTGTGGACTAGGCCGCTCCATTGCGCAGCGCTTCGTGGAGGTAGCTCTAGGCTACGCCCAGCCGCCGGCCATGGACGGCTCGCCGGTCTCGTACCTTCCCGCCCTCAGCTCAAACGACTACCTCCTGAAGCAGACGCGGCCACGCGCGCGCGCGTTGAGGGTGACCGAATACGACGTCAACGCGTACCAGACCGCCGTGCGCAACGTGACCAGCGGCTGGCACCGCAGCATTGACGGCGTGTTTCCCAACTGCAACAGCGGGACGCTCGAGGAGCTGCATTACATTGCCGAGACCGCGTGCCAGGGCATGAACGAGATCCAGAGGCAGCGCAATGAGCACTTGAATCAAGGGGAAGGAGCCGATGGTGGTGGTGGGGGTGATGGACCCGGCGATGGAGCCAACGGCGGTGCCAGAGCGGGAGGCGGCGGAGGACTTGCTGAGAACCTCCTTAACCTCAACTTCGCAGAGGAGTAAGGGTTGACTTCATGGCGAAGCTTATGAGTCTGCCAGCAGGTAAAGCTCCACCAATAATCACATACACACTCAGAGGAACGATCAAAGCACGGAGTTACACGGAGAAAGGTTTAGAAGGCGCAAAATGTTTTTATTGGCAGCGTTGGCCAGGATATCATGGGTCTCGTTTGGAGTTTTTGCTAGGATATTCATAATACCCATACTCCTGTTCTAAAATTCAATTGCTCATAATGCCATATGCCCCCTTTTCTTGCCCTTTATTGAGTGACAGGATGCCGTTGGCACCCGCATGCTCATGCAGGAAAGCGACTAATTTCAAATATAGAAAAAATGAGAAGATGAATGCATGTTGCCACCCAAAACAAACGTCGGCAGCGGTATATCCTGACGGCCTCGCTCGCTATGTCAAGATGAGTCCATGTCTCCCCTCTAGTGTCCGTTAACGCCGTTCGATCCGTTGGTGCCGCCGTTCTGCTCCTTGACGGCCTGGTCGAGGGCCTGGAGGACGTCGCGGCGCAGGTCCTGAGCGTCCTCGACGCCGCAGCTGATGCGCACGAGGTCGTCGAAGACGCCGACGGCCTCGCGCTGGTCCTTGGGGATGCCGGCGTGGGTCATGCTGCTGGGGACCTCGACGAGGGACTCGACGCCGCCGAGCGACTCGGCAAGGGTGAAGATCTTGGTCAGCTGGCAGAAGCGCTCGGCGGCGGCGTGGCCGCCCTTGATGCGGAAGGAGAGCATGCCGCCGCCCATGCCGTCGCGGTGCTGCTTCTTTGCGATGGCGCGGTGGGGGTGGGAGTCGAGGCCCGGGTAGTTGACGGCGATGACGTTGGGGGAGGCCTCGAGGGCGGTCGCGACGGCGGTGGCGTTGGTGGTGGCCTCGCGGGCGCGCAGGTGCAGGGTCTTGAGGCCGCGGTGGGCGAGCCAGCAGTCGAAGGCGGAGGGGACGGCGCCGATTGCGTTCTGGAGGAAGCCGAGGCGCTGCTTGAGGGTGTCGGAGTTGAAGGCGGCGACGCCCATGACGACGTCGGAGTGGCCGTTGATGTACTTTGTGACGGAGTGGACGACGATGTCGGCGCCGAGGTCGAGGGGGTTCTGGACGTAGGGGGAGAGGAAGGTGTTGTCGACGACGACCTGGATGCCGTGCTGGTGGGCCTGGGTGACGACGGCGCGGACGTCGACGAGGCGCAGGGTCGGGTTGGAGGGCGACTCGATCCAGACGAGCTTGGTCTGCGGGGTGATGTGCGCCGAGATGTCGACCTCGATCTCGGGGGTGAAGGTGACTTTCACGCCGTGGGCCTTTGCGACCTGGGTGAAGTAGCGGTGGGTGCCGCCGTAGACGTCCGAGACGGAGATGACGTGGGAGCCGGCGGCGAGGGACTGGAGGACGACGGCGGTGGTCGCGGAGCCGGAGGAGAAGGCGAGGGCGTACTTTGCGTGCTCGAGGGCGGCGACGGCCTGCTCGAAGTTGTCGCGGTTGGGGTTGCTGGAGCGCGAGTACTCGTAGACGCCGACGGGCTTGCCCACGCTCGTCTGCGCGAAGGTCGTCGAGAGGGAGATGGGCTCGATGACGGCGCCGGTGACGGGGTCATGCGGCGACCCGGCGTGGACGGCGAGGGTGCCGAAGTTGTGGACGGGCGAGGGCGCCCGCGGAGGGGTCTCGATGGGGTGCTCGGCGGGGACGGTCATGATTGCGGTCGGAGGAGCGTTTGTCGTTATTTTTTTTTTATTATGACGATGGAGGGGCTATTGAAGGGGTCTTGGAGGGGTCCAAGGTGGGGTGAGGAAGACAGAGAGAGAGGATGTTGAATCTTGCGACAGGAAGGTCTTTTTTCTCCGTTGTCGAAGGAGAAGAAGAGCAAGAAGAGATTCACGACAACCTGGAGAAATTGCTCTCGGCCCTTTTTGTGCGATTCAAGTCGAGGGTAACCGAGTTCTCGTAAGCCGCGGGGTCTTGTTGAATTTCTTGTATGTTATGGAAAAGAGATGGTCGTCTCGTTCTCGAACGACAGGGTGGAAATTGGCCCCGCCCCTAGGTATGGATAGGTACCGCTCAGTCGGCGACTGACCAAAAAAAAAAAAAAAAAAGGCGACGGTGCTTTGTGTCGGGGGTGCCCCAAGCTCGCGGAGGAATCGATCACGCAATCACTCTCGCCTGCTGACCAAAGAGGCCGGTTTTGTATTTGTGTGAGTCAATGGGCCGGTTTTGGGAGGTCAATTGGCGACCGGGCTTGGTGGTTTGTGGGAAATGGGCGCCGGTCGGGTCGAACTTCGTTCGCTGTGTACGTTCGTCGACGACGACGGCGGGATGCGACGGTTGAGTGCGGCAAGGTTGGTGTCGGTCAGAAGGGTTCGCCAGAAGCGATGGCGCAATCCGGAGCTATGCAAGGCACTGGACTCTTGTAGGCAGGTTGGAAGGGAAGATTACGGGGGGCGGGGGGGGGGAGGTGGTAGGCTTGTTAGCTGGGCTGCATGTGCGGTAGATCGGTTGATCGGGAGCCAGTCTAGAAGACGTGGAGAAATCACTTTTTATATCAATGGTCACTGATGACGCCTTCGATCTGTGACACACCGCCTCATTCCAGATGCGATGAGCTGAGCTGAGAGCTGACTGTGTGTGAAGCTGAAAAAGCAGTGTGTTGAGGATTGATGATAAAAACCGGTGAGTTTCGACGGGCTTCCGTCATCACAAATCCAGATGATGCACAATGTAGAGTTTGCGCCCTGCCTCGCCTTGATGGGCAGGTAATAGTACATTATCTTGCGCATTATCTGACTGGGTCGTGTCTGCTGCTATCGCTGCGATTGGCAGCTGGTAAGAGCTGCAAGCACGGAGAGACGGCAAATAGCAAGGGACCTCGGGGTCTTGGTTCCGCATGCTGACATATCCAATTTTGCCATGTGCTGCTGATGGAATTTTGCGAGGTTAAAGCCGATGGCGCGTGTCTGGAAGAAGCTTAGACTAGGTATCTGGTTGACAAAGATGGTTCGATAAGTTACGGCGGTTGAGAAAAAGGCTGGAGGGCAGAGACAACGAAGCGCATCTAGTTGCTCAAGACATCTTCTCGATTGATCACCCGGTCGGCTTAAATAGTACGTGAACATGTCTGTTCACTCTTTCTTCTCTTCAGTCGGCGATTGCCCATTCTTTTACTCCAGTCTTGACCAACACCACCGCAAATATGGAGTTCATCTGACCCGAACGGAGAACGGCAGCCGAAGAGACCATGCGGGAAAGTGGGGCCTCATCGGCCAGCTTCGGCCTTCCGGGTTGCAATGACTAATAGCTTCCAGCACTCTTCGCTTACATCATTCCCTTGGACTTTCACTCCGACCTGGACCCATGCCATGTCATGTCTGCCCCGCGGCGCGCCCTCCCACCTCCCGGGCTCGCAGCAGCAGCAGCAGCAGCGACATTTCAGTTTCCTGACGGCCGTTCTGGTCGACTTCCACACCAAAAAGGCATTTCGCCTGATGTCGCTTGACACCGCTTCAAGCTTTTTCGTGTCTTGACCGTCAACTCTGTCCGGCCCTTCAAACACAACAAGTGTCGCATGCGCCTGGCGGCTGACTTGAACCTGTTCTTGTTGTTGACAGGCTGTTCTGTTCTCTCAACCCTCGTGGCCAGGGAGAGGGAAAAGAATAAAAAGTGACAAATACTGGCACCAGGGACATTCTTCAAGCTTACCCATACCGTTGGATCCATCCTGTCACGGAGTTGACACTGCCTCGAGACGGAGTTTGCTGTTTTGACACGTGCAAACGGGCAAAAGTTGCAATAATCAAATAATCAAGTATGAATCAAATATTGCCAGCGAACCTGGGCAAGCTGAATCCCGCCGGCTCGAAAGACTGCTTGCTTTCCCAACTGGGCAGGTCTTTCGCGCTGGGATTTCTGCCCGCCTAGCCGTGGTGAAAGCAAAGCACAAGGAGTGCACCTTGTCCCTCCCGGCGAGGCCCTGCGGCAACGGCGGAGAGGTCACATTAAGGTGTGATCTCCCTTAAGGTTGTTTCCTCTGAGATGAGCGCCTGGGTACGGCGGCCATGCATGTGGTGGAACTGGTGGGAAGGGCAGCTCCGTCGCCTGGCTTGTCCGGGGCTCTCGCACATCATACTGCGCAGCCGCAGCCTAGAGAGAGAGATGCGACGGGGTCTGGGTCCGTCGCCCTCGATATAACGTCCCCTCATAGCTCCCTTCGTCTTAATTGCCCCCTCCGCTCAGACTGCGCAAGGACGAACGTCTAACCCTTATGTAAGGCGAAGCATTCCGTCAGAGCCACTCCACCAGAACAGACAGACAGTGGACGGACGACGCCTATTCCCCTTTGGGCACTGCTTCTGTTTTTGGCATCATAAATACTGTCCGCCTTGGCTTGGACATCCCGACATGTCACTAAAGTCACCGACGATGCTCGCGCAGTGAGTCAGGTGTGAAGCCGTTGACAGGCACTACCTCGTGCTTTTCCCTCCTGGTAACTATTATGTACGCCCCGGCCCCGCCATCGAGATTGTCGCGGAGCAAGCCCACGACGAGCAGCATACTTTCAACAACCAGTCGGCCGAGACGGACGATGCCACACGGAGTGACCCGTCCACCACATTGATGAAGCACGTTGCTGTGCCCTATGCTCTCGGTGCTTTTTTCCCATCGGACTTTGCGGCTGAGAGAACGAACGGCTGCCCATGAGCAAAGTCCGAATCTGAGGCAAAACCGACGGCAAAAGCCACGAGGGACGTGTCACAGGCTTGATGCGATGAGGCTCCAGGCAAGCCTTACTTCTTCTCCTCCAACCAGCCCGCGTTGCATTGCCATTTACGACGGCATTGACCCTCCCCACCGTCAAGAGTTGGCGGGTGGTTGTTGTCAGGCTGGAATTCCGTGCCCGATGAATTATGCCATCCATGGCGACATTTCGGGGAGGGGGGAAGGAGGCTCCGCCCATCCATCATGGCATCATTTCTTGTCAGGCGTTTGTCAACGTTTCCAAAACCTCGAAGAGGGAGACAGACCGGGGATGCTGCCCGTTTCTCTAGGGTGTTCCCAAACATGCAAACGTCTGTGGGCGGCAACACCAACAACGACAACAACACCCAACTACCCTGACCACACGCAGCTGCGCTGGCAAAAATAAAGGCCTTCTAGAAAGAACTTGCTGCTGGTTGCACAGCTGGACGCCAATGTATCACAAGCCCGCCTGCCCTCTCACAGACCAACTTCGGGCCAAACCCTGGAACAACCTTGAATCGCCTTCCTCCCTAGGATGTTTCAATTTGCATGTGCTGCGGGTTGCGGCTTATCGACGCAGCCCCCAAGCCTCCCAGATCTACGTCAGCCCCTCCCCTCCCCCGTCCCGTCACACCACTCGGATGGCCTGGCCTCCGACCCAATTGCAAACTCCATGTTCCTGCGCGCAACACCTCCAGCCTGTAATTCCAGCTCGCTGATTCGTCCATGGCGACCATCATTGGACCATGGATGGCATCCCCGGGTCGGCACTAGCAGATCGCAGATCATACAGGTTGGAGATAATCAACGACACGTTTTACACACGCACGACACGGAAGAACAGCGCAGCAACGATGGCCCACAGCCGCCGCCACTTTCCAGAGCCAGCCCAAGGCGGTGCATCAACGGGGTATGGAACTCGCGTGTCAATCACCCATCTGCCGATGTGAATAACAGGCAGGCGGGCCGCGCCATATATCATTATCAGCCATGATATCGAGGCTTTTGCCCCGCGGGCGCGACGAGGGGATACCTACCGGTCGGGGTTCGGTGCGTCTCTGGGCAGCAGGACGCTCGGAGTCGGGCTCATGAGTCTCGTTCGTCCGACGTGAGGCCCTTGCCTGCTGTGCAACATGGTGGCACACACATCTCTGCATGGCTGCAGGCCGCCCGGACCGTTCAAGGCTCGTCATCCCCCTTCCCGACTCATGTCGTTGACTTCAGACTTTCCGGCAACGGTGCCGACGTGAGAAGTTTTGGAAGTATCGGGCGACCGTAGAGACCAAGTGGCTGGAGAGAAGCTGGTGGGGGGGATGGCCACGACAGGGCTGAAGGGAGTGCACGGTAGTCTGGCTGCAAGAGCAGGGGGGGCCATCGACACCCATGCTGGGTAGATGATTGGAGTCGTGGGCGAGAACGACAGGCAACGCAGAGTTTGGCAGCGCAACCCACGCCCCCTCCGTTCAACTCCGTTCCGCCCGTCCACCCGCCCGCGCTCCGAGAGTGAAGCATGTTTTGTGAATGGTGATGTCTCGACCAATCTGTCATGTTCTCGGCCACGCCTGTCTGGCAAGACGTCCGGCCCTCGTCCTGGAGCGAAACGCAGAGGCGGGGACCCTGGGGCAGTGAAGCTTCTGTCTCTGATGAGTTTCCTTGCACATCACGGCAGCGCGGGAAACAAGTCTCGTCGTTTTGTTCATCGTGCTGTTTGTCAGTGATTACGCAGAAGCTCCATGGATGCAGTGGGGGCAGACAGGCAGGATTGAGGTTGATGCTCCGCGGACGAGGCTATCATGAAGACTCAAAAGCCAAGGTACTGGAACCCCTGTCACCGACACAGATCCGACCGGGCAGTTTGGCCGTTGCATATGCCCTAGGCCCATGAGCATGGACGTTTGTTTTTCCTGGTGCCCGGGTGCTGACAGTGCACTTGCTGCAAATTGCTGCGAGAGTGCAGTTACAGTGATGGTCGGGACGGGGGTGAAGCTGGCACAATACGGCGTAAGTGTCGGGTTCGTACGCCGTAACTCGTACCTTATTCTGGAGGTGACGTACCGGGCAGCGGCGGCGACGGCACGAGACCCGTGGCAGACGGGATTGATGTTATGCGCGAACGCACATGTCAAGTCAAGCTGGGCGATTGTTTACTTGTTCAGACTTTTGATGACAGTTTCTTGCCGTGCCTATCCCGGACAGCTTCGTGAAAGGCGTCGGGCAATTGGTGTGGTGGTTGGAAGATGTTGGAAGATGTTGGATGTCTCTATACACTTGGTGTTTTCGTTCAGTAGGTATGTACAAGGACAGGCAGGCAGGCAGGACATGGAGGGACTTAACATGTAAATTAGTACAGAGTACCAGAAGGGGAATATTTGCTCTCAGCAGGTGCCACACGATGCCTGCAGACAACCCTGGAGGACGCATGGTGTCCGTCGATTCCGCAACGGCGCGTCCACTTTTCGTCGCCTGCCGGCTCCGCGAATCGTGGGTGGTGGTGGATCGTCGGCGTGGGCCGTGGTGTGGCTGAGCATGACAATGACGGGACGCATTGTACCTTGGACAGCTGAACTGGACGGCAAGCGGGATTAGACTTGGTGGCAGAAGGGAGAGAAAGGTCGCCATCTGGAAATATGTGTCCGGTGGCGGTTTGTTTGTCGACGTCGCTTGTCGAGGTCGGTTGTCGAGGTGTCGAGAACGTGGATGTGTCTGCTTCAGCAAAGTTCCAATGAAATTCCCATTGCGGGGCCCCGAATTGACGGGCGGGCACTGGGCAGTGACACCGCCCACGGCCGCTGCAGCCAGTGTCAATGGGGCGCGCTGGGTGGCCCGTCCCCCCTTTCTGCCCTATGCGGGCAACGTAGCGCTCGCAAGTTCCCACCTACCTACCTCAGCAGAGGAGGTACGAAGTACTTTCCATACCTTCTGAGCAAGAGAAAAAAAAAAAAGAAAACCAGAAAACCAAACATCCATCTTTTCTTTCCTTCTTCTACCGCTGCCCCCCTGCTCCTCCTTCGCTCCAAAACTTGAGGTGGATTTGACACCGTCCGCGACGCCAACTTGGACACCCACACTCGCACACCTCTTTCTTTTCCAGCGTGCGCATTGCATTGCTGCTGCTGCTGCTGCTGCTCATTGCGGGCGATCGCGGAGCTGTCCCGTCTCATTTCGCCAGCTGTTCCCCCCCACCTGGGCAGCCAGTAAACATCTCAAAATTACAAACGGACAATCAACGTCCATCCATCTTGCAAGTCGTCTGCACAGCCATCATCACCAACGCAGGCGGTGCGGATACCCTCCCGCACCCGCCTTGCCTTAACGGTACCCCCTGTCCTTGGAAGTTGGAGGGAGGAGAGACAGACAACGGCCTGGTACAGATATCCGCCGTCGAGGACCCCCAAAGAGACAACCCGGGCGGACCACGCTGACCGAACCCAATCCACCCCCAGAACCCCGTCCATTCCTCTCACCTCAACCTTGACCCCGAATCGCCATCTCCACCACCACCTACAACTTGTCCAATCTTTTTCCTCCTGCCCCCGAAACCTCGAATCCGTCACGCATACACACACCACACTCCGCTTCTTTTTTCCTTTCCTCTCTCTTCCCACTTCCTTCTCGCTTCGTGCCTTCTCGCGTATGCTGGCCCTTTAAAGACACCAGGTTCGCCCCATCTACTACTAGCTCCCGCCTCCTTAAAAAGCCCTGAACCTCTGTCTGTCATGCACCTCGCCCCGTCACCGCCTAGCCCCCGCGAGTCCACCACCACCAACACCTCGACGTCAACACCGCCGCCTCGTTGACGACACGTGAAAGCCCAACCCACCTTCATCTCACTTTATAGAGTGACCTCCCGACATTACGACCCGAGAATTGACTTCTACGTTCATCAACACACACACACCTTCTCAATATGCCTCCCAGGAGATCTCACAAAAAGTCGAGAGCCGGCTGCAAACGGTGCAAGTCGCGCAAGATCAAGGTAGCTCCTACCCCCTGCCCGTCCGCCCCGCGTCTCTGCTGTCAGTCGCAATGAGCACAATCTAACCTTGACCCGTGATAGTGCGACGAAGTACATCCAAGATGCGGCAATTGCGTGAAGCACGGCGTGCCATGCGACTTCGAGAACCCCGATATGTTTGACGAACTCCTCACCGCCTTGACCCCCTCCAACACCGCCGCATCACAATCCCCCATCGACAGAGCCTCTTCAACCGCGCCCTCCCCTTCCGCAGGAGCATCGCACCGCGCAAAGACGCCCTCCATATCAGGAGGCTCGCCTCCCACAGCATCATGTACGCCGCTCTACACGACCCCCGCCAATGCAGCCATGTCCTCTACCACGGCACCCAATAACCGCCTCCTGGAACTGCGATTGATGCACCAATTCACCTCCATGACCTCCCGAACCCTTGTGGTCAACACCCCCGCCACCCACGACATCTGGCAAAACACCGTGCCAAGGCTTGCCTTTGGCGGTGCGAGCTACCTTGCCGATGCCATGCTGGCCGTTGCTGCCCTGCATCTGCGCTCCTTCAACCCGGACGACAAGGCTCTTGTGAGAGCGTCGCACTCATACATGGCCTCGGCGCTGGCCGCCTATTGTTCATGTTTGCAGAACGGCATCACTGAGGCCAATGCCGAGTCGCTTTTCCTCACCGCGGCTCTGATTGCCTTCTCGTCGACCGCCACGCGAATCTTCATCCGGGACGAAGCCGACCCGAACGACCCTGCCAGCGCCTACTCCTTACCCCTCTCATGGTTCCACGCATTCCAGGGTGTCAAGACCGTGGTAGCGACTTCATGGCCCTGGATCCGCAACAGCGGCATTGTCATTCCCATCATCGACTCTCAGCCCGTCCTCCAGCTCGACCTGGACGCGACCTCGCCAACCTCGTTCTTTGGCAAATTGCTGGACAATCTGGAGGACGAGCTGCAAGGTGAAGACGCGATAATGGCCATGTCCACAAGACAGTCCTACCAGCACGCCGTGGCCGTCCTCAACTGGGCTCACAAACTGCCGCACCGCGGTGCTGCCCTCGCATTCCCCGCCACGGTATCGAAACGCTTCATCGAACTCCTTGAAGAACGGCGTCCGCGCGCTCTGACTATTCTGGCATGTTTCTTCGCGCTCCTCAAGGGTTACGAGTCGGCAGTTTGGTGGCTTGAGGGCGTCTCTCGCAGGGAAGTCATGGGCATCGTCTCACAGTTCGAGGCCACGAGCCCGTGGTGGGCACACCTCGAGTGGCCTGTACGAATTGCCCTCTACAAGCACTCCATTATCCCACCGGAAGTCTGGGGCTCAGACTGGGTGACCGAAGAAAGCAAGGCCGAGAAGGGACACAACATGACGGCCGAGTCATTCGTCAACCACATTGAAATCCTGACGGGCGTGTTTGCAAAGGCGCAACCGCAGATGCCGGTGCCCGTCTCCACGCATGCAGTGTAAGCGAAACAGCTGGCTATGACGCGACCACGAATGTATGCACAAGCAAAACCACTATCAACATGTGTAAATTTCAAGATTGGGAACATCTTTAGATCGGCTGATCTAACCGGCACATACGAGCGGTGTGGGAGTTTCGGGGATCGGGAGACCACGGGAGTGGTAAGAAGAATGAGCATGGAGCATTGGAAAGGTTGATTTTTATCGGGTTCATCATTTTGTTTTTTTGCGGATCACAGGCCGCCAGGAGAATACCTAAGGCGGATACATCATCACATATAAGGGGTACTTGGGATGGGATTTCACGGATTTAGCATTTATGTCTTACGGCTGGGGAAATCTTTCACGGTGTTTGACATGGAATATGGTATATACAAAGGCTGATAGCGGGGTTCTACAGCCTGGAACAGCTCAGACAGAGCACACATAGCATTTTTCACCTTACGACACTGCTTGTCTTCTTTTCACAAAATAAACATGAAATTGAGATGACATCATTGGCCTTTGCAGAGGTTGGGAAAACCAGTTTGAGCATAGAGTATGTAAGCACGCAACGAGGGGTTCCCCTGACTGGGAATCAATACGCGAACAGACTCGCGAGATGCCAGCCATGTGCGGGAAGAGCGTTAGCCAAACATGCCATCTGGGCTTCACTCAGCTGCAGAATTGACAGCTGCTTCTCGGGGGACCACCACCATCAATCTTGCGGCAACGTCCTGTTCGGACGGCATTAGCGTGATTTCCCGTTCGCCCTCCATCACATATCATCACGGTTTACGCGGCGGTGTTTCCGAGGGCGTGAATGCCGAGGCGTGGATGGATTGGGGAAGTGTAAATTCATGCAACCATGTGATTGAACACCGCGGTGCTGCGGCGCCCCAACTTGGCCGTTTCGCGCGGACGGCCGAACGGCCTTGCCTTGTCATCATGCAAGTCATCTTTTTTGACTGTGCGTCATGGCCTTGTCAGGCGGGTCCCCTTCTTTTCTCCTTGCGAGTTGTCATCTGGTGTTAGACTTACATCGCCGCGTATCTGGCCGATCTCCGTTGCTTTGTGTATAATCGATGCCGAGGTTCAACGACAGAAGTATGTATGTATCCCTGCGCCTTGCAGGATAAAGATAGAAGTGCGTCCCTTTTGGTTAATCAGTTCCTGCGTGATGGCCATCCACGTGTAAAACCTTGCCGCGCAACGGTGAGGCGATCTGTAGATGTATGTTGGGCTTGTGAGATGGATTCCTTCCATATGGGAGCCCGGCAGTGGGGACCTCGGAGGCGGCGGCGGCGGCGAGTGGAGGTCTTGCTCCGCCTCCCGCGGGGAGAGGGGGCTTGCGCCCGTGGAATGACTCGGCGCAGGCAGGATTTAGAGGTGGTGGGTGTTTTAAGGATATGCCGGAGGCTTTTGTTGCCTCATTCGACCACTTGCGGCATGTCGGGCGACCCAGCTGGGTGTTTAGTTTTGTGATCGACTCTTCCTCTCTATCATGCCATCCTATGGAGGACGCGTACGCTATGAAGTCTAAATAAGAGTTGGGCACGAAGGAAGGGAGCGGGAGGATCTGCCGGCGCCGTGATCCTTAGGACCCGGGTGGCATTGCCCTTCCCGAGTTCCCCGACGAGATTACCTCATTCGGTGGCAGTTTTGACAGGAACTGCCAAGGCCTGCTTACGGCGGACATCTTGCCGTCAAAAAAAAAGGCAAAAGGATTTAGGATTGTCGTTGCCGCCCGAGGTGCCCGAAGCAAAAGCCTACTTGCTATAGGGATTTGGGGCTGGGGGAGGGGGTTTGAGAACGGGTTTTGACTCGGCATGTGAACCCGCCCGTGTGGGAGGTTGCCTCGTGTCGTTCGGGAGCTTGGGGAGGAGGGGCAGGTGGGTTGGCTCGTGTGCTTCGGTTCGAAACTCTTTTCTCATGTGTGCAGTTTGGGAATAGCACCGCCCCCCGCGAGAGGATTGCTCTTTGGGAACTGCACCCTGACGGCCCTGTCAGACGAATTGGGGAAGCTGACCTGGACTGACATGTTCCTTTGCAAGAAAGCTTGATAACTGACTGAGGTGGCATGTGACTTTGGTTCTTGTTCTTCACGGTCACGAACCTACCGAACGCCGATTGATGTAAATATCTACGCTGGTGATGTTGGTGGCGATGCTCGCGTCAGCAACTTTTTTTTTTTTTTTTTTTTTTTTTTTTTTTTTGTTGCATTCCATCCGGCAGGCTTCTGTAGAGCTTCGTTTTTTAAGTTGACATCCCGTTGGCGTATCACAGATCCGAATGGACTGTTCGCATTTTACGTTTTTGGAGAAGCGAACGGTAAGTAGGTAGTCAGCCCTTTGTCAATGATAAACATTTCTTGACATTGAGGCAAGTTTTGAAGGGCTGGGCGGTATTTGAGTTCTGTGTCGTGGAAAAGGCGAGATTGTGCGAGGTGTTCGGACTACTCCAGGCGTCCGTCGCGTCCAGTCGTTGCCGCAGCCCAACGAGAGAGCCTGCGAACCCTGAAGCGACCACCACGAGCCTATCATTACTCGCGAGGTTTCTCAGTTGGGGAAGTGTTGCTGATGGGCTGGTGAATTGGGCGCCGCGCTGCGAACCAGAGGGATGCGGGATCGTGTGCGTGATTGGTGCATCGTGCTCGGCACATCTTTGCTGACAGTGTTTCTAGAAAATGTTTGTTTCTAGAGACTTTTGAACTGCGAGACTTAGTCTCGTGTGCATTTGATTGGTGCGCATGGGGTTTCGGCCCATCGTGAGAATTGACGGTTTAGTTCGGCGGAGTCTTGGTGTTCGCGCTTTGCTGCACACGGCGTTTGCGGCCGTGGTCATGTGTCGTTGATGGGTGTTGTGTAGCCGGTAGCGTGTGTGGTGGGTTGAATAAGTATTAGCAATCAATAGTTTCCCCCCTTGTCGAGGATGATCATGGGTGGGAAATATAGTTCCTGGTGCGACTCTGGGGTAAGAAGGCACGAGTGTGTTGTCGTTATGGGGGCTGTACCAAGAAAACTACTGCAGCGCGCAAACTCTACTGAGGAGAGTCATGAATCGAGTCGTCAACTCTGTTGCGACCCCGGCGAGTTGTGATCTTGGAACGAATTGTTTTCTGGAGGGAGGGAGTCGATGATGGTGATCTGGGGAAAGAAGAGCCTCTATCACGGCCGATAACACGGAGAATTGATAAGGCACAACGATATCAGAATACCTATCAGAACGGGAAATAAACGGCCTGGAAACCACGCGAGAGGTTCGGTTATCCGTGTGCTGCTCAAGTTCGGATCAAAGGCCCCGATCTACCTTAATTCAACACCACGCCCCTTCGCTTGCATTCTCAAAACAACCGGCGCCGGCTTGCCGTCATTTTAAAGACAAAAAAGGACCATCAGCACAAAATGGCTGCCCAGGGAAACTGAAACGGGCCGCAGCTCGGAATAGCCCCCAACGCTGGACCTCCAATTCCGGCAGCGTGCTCCTCCACCCCCGGTAAGCTCGGTCCTTTTTCGCTCTGCATTCGATATTGGCCCGCTTTCCGCTCCTCTCTTTCTAACCGGGGGTCTTGGACGACCAAGACCAACGGCACATAGATTAAACATCGGACGGTCTTGCACCGCAATAAGGGCACAGCAGGTCGGTCATTGACCAGGGAGGCTGTTTACCCTGAGGAAATCGCGATTCGTTCTACGGGGACCAGCCTCATGACAGCCAACGAGGAGAGCGGAAAAGGGGGAGGGTGTTGGCAGGAATTCCCAAAGAGCGTTCGCCAAGTCTCCAGGAACGGCAGCAAACTGTGGAGAAACATTCTGCTGATTGGAGGAGTCGAGATGTTCCTCATGGGCACTCCTCCCAGGAGGTAGCGCGATGAAACGTCAAGCCGGCTGAGCAAGTCGTCGACCGACTCCACTGTGGTTCAAGCGGACGTCAGCGCCTGTTTGGCTGTCAAAGTTGGGTTTTTCTGCTGGCGGTAGTGCCGCTGCTCGCTGGCAGGCGGGAGCTAGACTCCTTTGCGTGTGGTCAGCAGTCCGGTATTGCTCGTTAAAGCTGCGGGCAATATGTCTGAAGCAGAGGGATGCCTGTCAGCTCCTCTGTCTGTCACTCTGACGGTCGACATATCGACAGGGATGGGGGTTGCTATACGAGAAACTGGGTTACACGCCTTCCCGCTCCCCGTCGAGGCGCCTAGCTGATGAGTTGCAGTTTGCCATGATTGCTCCGGTAGTTCGGGAAAGATGGAGAAAGGCCCTGATGCAGTTCTTGGGATCCCATCAATAAGGGAGATGAAGGGGTGAAAGGGGTTGATGGCGCTTGGTGTTGATGGCGAGTCCTGAACTGCTGTATATACCACTCCTGAAGACCAGACGAAAGGCGAAGACTTCCTCTTCGTCTCTCTTCCAGTTCGTCTTTCCCCCCTTTTGTGTTTTCTCGGTTTGCCCAGCGGATACCCCAGAGCAGATCCGATCTCCGATCCGAAAGGACAAGCCCGCCAAGATGCTCGCCTCCGTAGCCTCCGTCTTCCTCCTCGCCGTCTCCGCGGCCAACGCCGCCCTGACCTACAAGGGCGCCGACTGGTCCTCGGTCACCATCGAGGAGAAGGCCGGCATCAACTACAAGAACTCGGCCGGCGCCTCCCAGTCGCTCGAGGTCATCCTCAAGGGCGCCGGCGTCAACTCGGTCCGCCAGCGCGTCTGGGTCAACCCTTCCAACGGCGACTACAACCTCGACTACAACCTCGCCCTCGCCAAGCGGGCCAAGGCCCAGGGCCTCTCCGTCTACCTCACACTGCACTTCAGCGACACCTGGGCGGACCCGAGCAAGCAGGGCATCCCGTCCGGCTGGCCCACCGATATTGAGAACCTCAGCTGGCGCCTGTACAACTACACGCTGCAGGTCAGCAACGCCTTCCAGAGCGCCGGCGTGCCCCCGGCCATCATCAGCATCGGCAACGAGATCCGCGCGGGTCTGCTCTTCGAGACGGGCCGCACGTCCAACATGTACAACGTCGCCCGCCTGCTCAACTCGGCCGCCTTTGGTATCAAGGACTCGACCCTAAGCCCCAAGCCCAAGATCATGATCCATCTCGACAACGGCTGGGACTGGAACACGCAGAACACGTGGTACACCAACATGCTTGCCCAGAACCAACTGACGCTCGCCAACTTCGACATGATGGGCGTCTCGTACTACCCCTTCTACAATAGCGCCGCCACTCTGGCCTCCCTCAAGACCAGCTTGACCAACATGGCGAGTAAGTGGGGTAAGGAGATTGTCGTTGCCGAGACGAACTGGCCTACCGCGTGCCCGAGCCCGAAGTACGCCTTCCCGAGCGACCTGAAGGACATCCCGTTCTCCGCGGCCGGACAGACGACCTTTATGACGAGACTTGCGGCCGTTGTTGCTGGAATTAGCAAGGGAACTGGAATCTGGTATTGGGAACCAGCATTTAAGTCGCTTCTTTGACCTCTAGATGTGTTCTTTTGCTAATATTCTGTGTAGGGGTTGATAACCAGGCGTTGGGATCAAGCTGTTCCTCAAACACGATGTTTTCGTACCCGGGCAACGCACTGTCGAGCTTGAACGTTTTCAAGAGCATTTAAGTGGGTCCAGCAAAGAAAAAATACCCATCAGATACCAGGAAAGAGTTATGAATGGAAGGCGTGGTTGAGTGGTTGTCGACCTTGGGTGTGGTACACATCTGAGGTGAGATGTTGTGGAGGGTGTACATACCGGACGCCGCCACAAAGGACAGAGGCTACTTCCGCCCGTCGGGAAGAACAGTACATGCCTTTATTTCAGCAGTAAATAGTTTTTGAGCGCTTCTCGTACATACATACCTACTTCAGCCAGGTGCTTGGAGCACCGCTGGCCGTATATAAGCATTGATTGCCAACATCAGCCTCATGCCTTGAGCGTGATCATTTAGCAAAACTAACTGACAGCAATTTTGTCGCGTCTATTGTATTAATCGTACATGTAAGCTCAGTACTATCTCCCTCTCATGCAAATAGTCAACGATCGGGCTACGGAGTCGATGGACGGCTAGTCGGATTCACGGCTTCGTTTTCATGCACAGGTTCATTTCATGGCCGCGATGCTCAACTGGGTTATTCACTCGATCTCAACTAAAACAGGGCCTTTCCCCTCCCGCGCCTCTCTATTCCGAATTTTCTTACTTCCGCGTCCTGGTCGGAAGTCGGTCTCGGATGTAGCAAGTATCATGTGCATTCCCGCCTTGTGAAGACGTCCAAGTCGCGGCTCAGCAAGAAGCTCCAGAGCCTTGGTCTCTGCAGCTTCAGTCTCGCCCTTGCTGTGCATGGTGCAGATGTGCTTGAAGCGCAGCTCAAACATGGCTGGAGTTGTTAGCATTGTCTTCTTCACATGATCTGCGGGAAACCCACCACCAAGCTGGCCGAGGCCGCTATCCTTGCTAGATGCCATGATGCCCGTTCGGGAAATTTCTGTTCGTCTTTGGTGAGTCGCGAGGGAAAGAGATGCAGATTGAACGTTGGGAAAGGAAGGTGGTCGCTCCAGCAAATTTCAACTTCAGCCGGCCTCTTCTCACCTTTTTTCCATCACCAGCGAAAAGTGCTGCCTCCCGTCAACGCCTCAGGCAAGTGGGCAATGCATGATGAGATCGGTCTTGTGCACGCTGAAGACTACCTAGACTGCTCGAACCGGCTACATAGGTACGAGAGCGACTTTGAGGGTCAAGCCTAAGAGACTAGAACTCCGAGAAGCGAGAAGCCTTTCCAGTGAAAACCACAGCCCCTTGCCGATGCTACCATGAGTTGTAGCACAACCGCCAATCTTCTAGCGTCGTCGAATATACATGAGTTTCTACTTCGTCACACAGATGATTTTATCAACAATATCCAAAACCCGAGTTCCTTACTATTCATCGCGGACACATTACCAAACGAGGCGACATAGAGATGGTGTGGGCTGCATTTCCCAGGCTCGCGCACAGGAAGCAAACTTGGCATTCTTGAGTCAAATGAAGTCGTTGCTACCCTAAGTTATCTCTCATACGGCTTCTTTTCTCTGGACACGGGTCTCCATAGGAGAGAGTGATGGCGCAGTAGTATGTCAAAATTGCTTTATGTGTAGACTCACTCAGGCCACGAAACTTTGTTCCAGTCAATTGGAGCATACAAGCTGCAGTAGTAATACGATACTGGGTTCAACATCAACATCTCCGCCCGAGAAAATCGGGCGCTCAGAATCGGTTTTTTCTTTCAAAGACCAGCCGTTGAGGAGAAAACGTCTGGTCACTCTGAAGAGGGTACCTAACTCGGTGTGTGGAAGAACGCTGATCTGACGCTGCTCTTCACCGAGCTCACCGACCGTACCGACCCGACCGGCGTTCGCCAGTTGTGGATGCAAAATTCAGGGCATCCAACGGCGAGGTGGACCTGGGCACGGCGGGACGGTGATGTCAAAGAACGGGCAGACGGCCAGGTGAAGCGCGGCGTGGACGGGGGGCCCGAGCGTCCGCTTCGAGAAAGAGCGTGCAGTGTGTGTGCCCGCTGACGCGGTACGTACCGCGCGACTGCCATTTTTTTTTTCTCGATTAAAAAATCACATGACTGCGGGGGGAGGGCAACCGAACCCTACGGGCCAAATTTGGGCCATTGGTGCAAGTCAAGCGAAACCTCCAAGCGACCGTAGCCCCGTCTCCCAAAACTTCGACAACCGCACCGGCACTTCAGCTTATTCGCTCTCGATAGACCGCATCGACAGCGAATTCCCTGACCTCACAACACCGCAAAGATGGCTGACGACGAATACGTACGTGCGACCCTGTCTTCCCTCCCTGGTTTCGATGGATAAAGACCGCGCTGTCGCGGCGGTGGCGGTCGCGGATTGAGGAGGAAATGGTGGCGCGACGAGACCACTTCGCAATAAAACCGCATCGAACAATTTTTGGCTGACTGGAGGGATCCATACAGAACGCCGAGGAGGCTGCCGAGATCAAGAAGAGAAGAGCGTTCCGCAAGTTCTCTTACCGCGGAATTGACCTTGAGGCGTACGTTTTGCCCACTTGAGAAATCCTACCTACCCGTCCACACCCACGCACAATCGAATCCCTCGAGACCGGACGATGAGATCATCACTGCCTTTCCATTCCACGAACCTGCCGAAGCACCCGCCATCGAAGACACAGAACCGTCCAGGCTAACATGCACTCTCACACAGTCTCCTTGACCTCGACTCCGAGCAGCTCCGCGATGTCGTCCACGCCCGTGCCCGCAGGCGCATCAACCGCGGTCTCAAGCGCCGCCCCATGGGCTTGATCAAGAAGCTCCGCAAGGCCAAGCAGGAGGCCAAGCCCAACGAGAAGCCCGACCTCGTCAAGACCCACCTCCGTGACATGATCGTTGTCCCCGAGATGATTGGCAGCGTCATTGGTATCTACTCCGGCAAGGAGTTCAACCAGGTTGAGATCAAGCCTGAGATGGTTGGCCACTACCTGGCTGAGTTCTCTATCTCTTAGTACGTCCCTCTCCGCGCAAGGACTTCGGAAACAGTTTTCTAACAATCTCACAGCAAGCCTGTCAAGCACGGTAGACCCGGTATCGGTGCTACTCACTCTTCTCGTTTCATTCCTCTCAAGTAAGAGGATGGTTGTGGGCTGTCTTTGGGAGGTTCTTGCATTCAACGGACATCAAGGCGAAACGGGAAATGGTTTTGGTAGCATGGCAAGGCCACTATCATGTTGTTTGGGCAATGATAGTTCAATACAACATCGTTGTCCGCTAAAAAGTTTGAGCCTCGAAATGGGAATGAAATAAACGACATGGGGATACCAAAACTACCTAAAACTTCACTCGCTGCCTTCCTCTGTGACTACTTGAATGCTCTGTCTTGCATTTGACATTGAAAAGAGAATCCCGCTTGGTGCACGAAATCCAAACCTAAACTGGCCCGCTCACGATGCAATCTGTCACTCGCCTATCTTAGCCCTCCACATGGACTAGACCCGCCGGGGGTGATTGCAAGGTCTTGAAGGTCAACCCCATTGCTTGAATGGCAGACGTTGATGCTCCATTGGCAACCCATCCTTCTGGTCGGGGAACGTCCTACGCTAGTTCTTTCTCCCCTAAGCAGATTCGCAGATGAGAAGATTCTTTCATTGCTCAGGTCATAACGAGACCCATGGTCTGATGGTCAAAACGTGGGTATATAGGGTCTAAAAATGTGCTATGTGCATCTAATCATTACAACTCCTGCTTTCCCAGCTTGTTCAACTGGGTCTGCTCATGCGCATCCAACCTGTCATACAGGTCCTTGCTCCAATGGCTCTTGTCTCCCTTATTCTTCTCCATGATGGCCTTCACGGCCGTCTTCCAGTTGCCGTCGCTCACACGATCAGCCACTCTCTTGGACGCATCCGTCTCGGACGCCTTGAACAGGGGCCACACGCCGACATCGGCTCCCATGCTCTCGTCGAGGAAGCTGTCGAGGATAAGCTGCCCGGTCTTGCGCTGAGCGGTATCCCAGCGGGCATCTTCAGGCGCGAGTACCTCGAGAAGGCGGTCCATGCCCTTGTTGGCGATGAAGTCGTCACGGATCGTAGGGCTCTTCAGAAGACCTCTGACAGCGGCGACATGAGCCTTGGCCTTGTTTGCGGCGCGGAGGACATCGTGCTTGCTCTCTTGGGAAGGCACGAAGGAGGCGTAAAAGTCGTCTCGGAGCTTCGAGGCTCCCTTAGTCTCGGTAGCGGGGCATGAAGCGTCCATAAGCTGAGGCCACACCTTGGTCACTTCCTCAAGAGCCTTGGGGTTGTTTTGCAGGGCGCCGGAGATGATGGAGGCGGCCTGCTGGTCACGGGGAACGACACCCTCGATTGGTGCGGGCGTCTCGGGGTCTGACATGAGGCAGAGGAGGGACTTGACGGTGTCAAACGTCTCAGTGATCTTCATGCCGTAGTAGATGTCGTGAGAAATGTCCTCGAGAAACTCCAGGGCCTCATCCATGGGGAGGTCGGCCCCGTTCGCGCCTTTCTTGACGTAATCGAGATGGGAGTAGAACTCGCTTGACTCCTGCGGGGGCTGCTTCACGGCGCCGACGGGGTCGTACTTGGGGGCGTCCTTGGGCAGTCTCGGTTCATCGTGTACCTCCTCGCCATCCACAACCACAATCGAGCGATCGACCAGCAAGCCCTCCACCGCCGGATTCTTCTCAGTCGGATCGTTGATTTTGGCCTCCTTTTGGCCGGTGTTGATGTTCATCCGGATGTGGAGGCCATGGGGCAGCTCTTGGTCGTCATGTACTATTTGGAATTCCTCTGTCGGTTGGAAGATCTTGGGGTAACATTCCGCCGGGTTGTCGGTGTGGCAGATGAGTTCAACATCGGCCGACGGTGAGGGTGCTGCCGGTGCCGCTGATACGTGTGATGAAGCGGCGATTGTGGGTGCGAGGATGAGAAGGCCGAAGACGACCATGAAAATAGTGAGAGGGAGGAAAGATACGCGGTTTGTTGGTCTTTGCGCCATCTTGAATTTCTGAATTGTGGTTTTGTGATATGTAGTTCCGAAGAGAGGTTGACCTCTTCAGTCAACGTCGTTGTCGCCCCGTTTGCGGCGAGGGATGATGAGACCCAGTGTTATTGTATGAGAACAGTGGGCACGGGCAACAAGGCAATGAGTTCAATAAGAGTTGTGTCGAAAGTCTAAAGCCAAGATGGATTTGAGATTCTGATGCGACTGACGGGTGCATGCACTCTTATAATTGGGTTAATGAACGAAAATGAGTCAACGGAAAAAAAGGACAGTTTACCATCACGAAATAGAAATTCATCGAATTCATCCGTCTGGCCAAGTTGTCTCATTGCCCAATGCTCGAGGCCGTGGTACCCATTTTGAGAGGCGATTCTCTTATTTGAATTCGGCAAGTCGTGATTGGTCAAAACAGCCGCCACAGCCGCTGCGGCGCTAAACCGCGAAAAGTGACGCTCCTCCCCGACTACCGAACCTTGGGAATCACCTCCACACCCGAAAGCTCCCTCCTCAATCCCCACGACGACCCGATTCCCATCGTCAACTGACACCGTCCCGCAATGTCATTCACGATGCAGGCCATTCGAACGCGGGGTGCCTGCATCGCGCGCCGGTCCCGCCTGACTGGGCTGCGCCAATCGCGATCCTACGCCTCCGGAGGCGACCACGGCCACCACCACGCCCACAACGTCGAGGAGCCCATCGGAGTACGTTCTTGCGCCAATTGATCGTCGATGCGGAGATTTTGGAAGCTAATTGAGCTGTTTTTGGCGTTGTAGAACTTCTTCTGGGCAACCGTTGCCGTCATTCCCGCTGCGTACTTCATGTACAAGATCAGCCAGCCCGGCAAGGACGGCGAGCCGCCATTCCTCACCAAGAAGATCCACGAGTACTGGCACTACCAGGAGACATGGGCCGAGAGGAGCCACCTTCACACCAAGGCCGTTGAGCAGGCCGGTTTCGACAGGTTGCTCTTCTTCTCCACCCCGGCCAACCGCGACGTCGACCTCCGATTCCCTGAGTGAGCCTTCCCGAATCACGATAATATGACTGGACACTGGCTTGGAAAGCCCAGAGGATGCAGTGCGGCTAACACAACTTTTCTACGCAGGGCCATGTCGAGTTACGCCGCCCGCAACATTGTTGCTGGCTCCCAGACCAACCTGGACCACGTTGTTGCTCACTACAGGAAGCAACATCTCGACGAGGAGGAGCGGAAAGCCCAGCTGCTTGCGAAGAAGCAGGAATGAGCGAGGGGTGGTGTTGTATGATACCGTTACATAGATCGACCCGAGGTTGAATCAAGGCTTTCAGTTCATTTGTTACGTTGACTGCTCGCCAGGATACCGCGAGTCTCGACTTCCTTCCAACCTGATCAATTTCTCTGGCAAGGTCGATGATGTGTGGAAGTACTGGCGAGCGGGACCGACATGCCCCGTTAAAGTTGTGCCTGCCACACCACGACAGTGATGAGCCAAGAGAGGGAAGGGCCGCTGTTAAGGTAGGAAGCTGGATTCAGTGGACTTCCTCATCAGCCATGTAGGATGTGTTCATAGAAGGCGTTTTCCACTCCGGTCTTGCAGGCAGGTGCCATATCCCTTGATCTGTGACTTCAAAACCCCCGTCTTAACCTCCCCCGTTCTCTCCTCGTTTCTGTCCTCGTCACCCCCAGACTTCTTCTTGGACGTAACGCTAACACTGCCAATATCCATCGATCATTACTTCTGCCTTAATTACTATCGACCTATGCACAATGGACCCAAACGCGATTGTTGATCCCAGTCAGGATACCACTTTGGTCGGAGAGTTTCTTGAACGCGTGGCGATGATATTGGAGCAGCGAAACTCGGGGCAACCAAGACCACCCATGCCAACAGCGCCGCCGCCGTTGTCGGCGTTGCCGGCGTCATCGTCGTCTCCCCTGTCGTCCTTGGGACCAACGCCAGAGCGACCAATGTCGTCAGCCCGGTTGCCGGCGGCATCGTCGTCGTCATCTTCCCTGTCGTCCTTGGGACCAACGCCAGAGCGACCGACGCCAGAGCCACCAACGTCGTCGGCCCGAAAAGCGCTGGTGCTACCAAAGCGTGAACCGGTAGACTCATCAGAAATGGCGCCACCATTTGGAGAGTGCCCATGGACAACCACCCTGCCTCTGCCTCCCTGGAGGCCAAATTCAATCTTCCTGTCTCTGGACGAGCCTAAGCACGGGGCACGTCACTCACCGGATGACTACTCGGCCGGGCAAATGATGTCCACCTTGAACGAGGATAACCGGCCGTACTTTTACATCAAGGACCAGCTTATCATGGAGGCCCATGTGCTTTGCCGCTTCTAGGAGCGCGGAAATGCAGTCAAATTGCGCCTAGAGTGCGCACAGCACTTTCCTGTGATGAAATACATGCCTCTTGACCCGAACAAGATCACGGCCCTTGACCACGGAATACTTTGCAGGTTCATGAACACCTTGGGCTTCCGGGTCATAGGCCTCAAGGTATGGACCGACGAGAGCCATTGCGTTCCCAGAGGCGATCCACGATGTAACGCAGAGATCCGTGGGCCCGACATGTTTGCCACACGTGACCTCAAAAAGGGCGACGAAATCTTTCTGGCAACTCCCAACTATATCTGCAGGTGCCTCATGTGCCTCGAGGAGGCAGAAAGCATACGGAGAGAACTCAAAGAGGAAGCCAAAAAGCTCAGAGCGGAGCTTGAAGACGCACGCAACAGTAAATCCTCAGGGCCTTTGACGAGGGACAGCAAAAATAGTTCTCAAGAGCAGAACAGGAAAGACGATTCTCGAAGACTGCCGGCCGGTACCCAAGCACCCGTCACTCAAGCATCTCGCGGCCATTTGATCTGGACCACAACACTCACTCCGCACAACTTCAACGACGAGTATGATGGGTCCTCCGAGCAGCCTGACGAGCCTGATAAGATCAATGACAACAAAGGCATTCCTGGCATCAATGTCATTGATGATGTCTCTTCGGATGAGTCCCGCTTGAGTACTATACCCGAGGAATCTGGCGAGGACCGGGACGAGGACGGGGACGGTCACGTCAACATGGACAGCGGCGAGGACGACAGCAACGACGCCGGCAAACGCCCGGACACTCTAAGTAACCAGTTACGGAGACGCGACTCCGGGTCTCGGGTGGACGCTCTTCAACCCCCACCAAGACTGTTTGAAGAGCCTTTCGAGCCTCTCAGATCAGAGGAAGACTTCCTTGAATTTTTCGAACAACTGGATCATTGGGGTAAGTCAGTGAGTCAACAACTGGATTATTGGAAAAATGGTAGGCAGTGAGGAGTGGCTACTGCTTACAACGCTGCATTTGCTCTTTGCATAGCTGTTACTGTTTTGCTGCCCAGCGGGATGGCGATAAGGCATATTGATAATCCACAGCGTTGCAGTGATGGCTTTGAGAGAAGCCTCTGTCTTCGTACTGGGGGGACTCGTGGCAGATAGAGAAGTCTTATACATTAGCGTCATTAGTATTGAATGTTACGGAATTCAAGTAGCGCACTTTTGGGAATCAAGCCACAGCATTCAACACAAGACCGCAGAACCGTAGCCTGTGACAGATGCCTTGAAGTTTTTCTACTGGTCTTGATAGGCTTTACAACTGGTTTGCGTTATCATGGAACATTGACGACATGTCTCAATGTTGCCTGTCCGACAGAATTGAGGGTAAAGCTCGTAGAGGTTCTTATTCCATTACCTAGCATAAGGCCGATGATTGTAGTCTCCCCAGCTGATATTGTTTGGCCACTGACTCTGTCTTCAAGCAGGGCAGCAGCGAATCATCATGAAAGAAATTGATACCTCAACCCCATGCGAACCGCAAGTCCCATGCCAGTTCCTAGGAGCGCCAATCCAGTAACACCATTGTGCTAGGACCATTGAGATTCGATCTCCCGCAGGCACCTTTTAAGATTCTCTCGCATCCCCAGAACCGAACTTTCGGACCACAGAGCCCATGTTCCAAGGCGACACCCAGGCTTTCTTCACGAAGCTCGATGTCGTAGGCTGGAAGACGGGGGTCCGATATTCGTATCGGCTCGGGGATACCGGAATCCGGTCGGCTGCGAGGGGGAGACGGCGCCTCCTGGCAGTAACGGCTTCTTTAAAAGCCGTGGACCTTGACAAGCTAGAGCGGGGAAAGAGGTTAGCCGCTATCTTCGTTGGGCTCTGACAAGGCGTGGCGAGGTGGAACGGGATCTCGTGGTTGATCATGGAGGGGTTCAAGGGTGGGAAGGTGGGGTCCAGAGTCGCGTGCTTACCTTGGAGTCCATCTCGAGACCCTCCTGCTTGTCGACGAGGAAATCGTGAATGTTCTTGCGCTGGTCGCCTGTTTTGTAGGGGAAAAGTAAGTTAGACTTTGCGCAAAAGGATTGGAAGCTACGGCGAAGCTGGTGGGAGGGTCAAGAGGGAATGGAGGGGAATGTTTGCGACGCACCCTGGAGCTGAATGACCTCACCGAGGTCCTGGTCCTCCACAATGGTACCGTTGCAGGCGAACTTCTTCTTGATGACCTTCAGGATCTTCTTCTGGTCGAAGCGCTTGGGGAGACCCTGGATGGTGGTGAGGGTCTTGCGGCCATTGCGCTGCTGGATGCGGATGTGGATGTAGTCCTGGCCTTTCTTGGGATTGTTGTTGCCCTCGCCCTCTTCGGCATCAGCGAAGGGGTCAATTGTCTTGAGGTTTTCGATGGTAGTCATCAGAGGCGCGTGTCGCGTGTAGCGTTTGGACTTGGGATTTAAAAGACGGGGTGTTTTGAGTGCTGGGGTGTGAATGCGCAAATGCAGTTGTTGGTTGTGGTGATTTTTTTGTTCTTTGGTTTTGGGGAAAGTGAGTGGAGATTTTTTTGCAAGAGCTTGGATGCGCGTTTGGGCGGGGGAAGCTTGTCAGCTTTTTTTGAGGCTCAGAACAGAAGGAGAGACCAGACTAAGAAACGGTGTTGGTGGGATGAGCAGAAGGCGGGGTGATGGAGGGGTCTGTGCACGAGCAGTGATCTGCCAGTCCGTTGTCCGCGGGTGAGATCCTGCTGGCATTAGATGCAGCACACAGCCACATGGCTGACCTGGTGCCTGCTTTTATCGCTTATCGGCAGTCGATGGCACTAGCCACATATAGACGTTTGTGGCGCTCCATGGAAACATCACATATCTCTGGAATCTGCCATCCAGGCTTTTTTCAGAAAAGCTTCAAACCTCTTTTTGTTGATAATATCAATATATAATCTCAATCATGCCTGCCGTAAATGACGGCATTGAAGTTCGTGGCTCCAAGGGCGGTGCCAAAGGCGGCCGCTCCATACACGCGACGCGCCGCTTCAAGCCGGGCGACGTCATTGCTCTCTTCGACGAACCGGCCGTCGTCCTCCCGCCAGGCCACCGCGCGCTTGAGTATTGCAACCACTGCCTGAAAAGGCAAGGTCACGCGGGCGTGGGAAAGCTGCGCGCTTGCACGGGCTGCAAGACGGTCGCCTACTGCGGCGCTGCCTGTCAGAAGGCCAACTGGACGCTGATCCACAAGGTCGAGTGCAAAGCAATCCAGTTCCTGCATGAGGTCAAGCCGGCACATCAGCCCGATTGGGTGCCCACGCCCATCAGGGCCGGGGCGCAGGTGATGCTGAGGCCGAAGTTGAAGGAGTCGTTTGATGCTTTGGAGGGGCACGTCGAGGAGTGGAGAAAGAACGACGAGATGGACTTGCAGCTTCAGGCGCATGGGGTTTTGAGGTGCTGTGGGCTTGATGCCATTACTTTAAAGGGGCTAGAAGAGTCTTTCCAGGTTCTATGCAAGGTATGGCGTTTTCGATGGGGACAGGAGTTGCACTGACATCCTGCAGCTTCAGACGAACGCTTTCAGTCGGACGGAGGAGTACTATGAGACGGGCGGTGTCTTCTTGGATACGACGTTGGCCATGATCAATCACTCCTGTGTGCCCAACGCGATGGTGCAGTTTGGAGGACGGACTGCCACACTTCGATCAGCCACGTTCATCAACCCTGGCGATGAAATTGAAATTTCTTACGCCGGTAAGTTGGCTTTTGACCCTCGCAGCTTCGTGATTGCCACTTAGTAACCTATGCCAGACCACACACAACCTAAGGGCAAGAGACAGGGCGAGCTCGACCTCTATCATTTCGAGTGTTCTTGCTACAAGTGCGAGCATGATTTAGACGAGTACCAAATCGCCATGAACGACCCGACCATTGACCTCAACAGCATGAGCGTCATGCCTGACATCGAGCGGTTCAAGAATCCACCCGGCGGCGGCAAAACCGATCCTCCACAGGGATTGATGGGCTTGAACATCCAAAAGATCATGCCCGTCTTCCCGCGCGACATGCCACGCGACGAGAAGCGTGAGTGGCTGAGGAAAGCGTACAAGACTGGATCGTATTTCGTGACCACGGGCAAATGGGCCATTGAACCATTTGCGCAGGTGGTAGACGAGGCAGCGTACTACTTTGGAAAGGACCGGGGAAACCACGAGTGCGCCCTCGCTATTGCTTGCTTGTCCGCGTACGATATTGAACCATTCAAACACGTCGCGCCGTTCCATCCCTCAAGACTCAAGGGATTGTCTGCCATTGCCATCGCTTTGTCGAATACGGCGCCCAACCCTGGCAAGCTCACCAAGCTTGCTAGAGACATGGCTGCGCTGAAGAAGTTTCCGCCTGAAAGCGTCAAATTGCTGGAGAATCTGGACCAGGTCTCTCTGTGTCAGATGGTATTGTCGATAATCGACTTTTACAGCGACCTCGCACCGTCAGCTGACTGGGAGCCTCTGGTGCTCGCGAAGGAGATGCTGAAGGACATTGAAAGCCTTCCTGGTCGGGGGAAAGAGACTACTTTGATCCTTGCGTGGAGGACAGACCCGAAGACCATGGATGACTTTTTCAGGTTTGGTCTTGTTGAGCCGATCAGGACATTGTCCGAGCTTGGAAAGGTTGTGCTAGAAGTAGATCTGGGCATGGACCGCGATCTGTCTGCCAAATGATACCCCCTTGATGAATAGAGCAAGAAAAGACTGTTCTTATTATTATTAACAGTTGGAGCTTCTAGTTCGTCTTCCGCCTGCAGGGGGGCCAATCGAGTTGAGTTCGTCGGTAGATAAATCTTGCTTCGATCTCTTGGTTCTTCTCTTGTCAATAGCACCTGATTTCGTCAATTTCGGATGGGCAATTCTTTGGTCGTCAGCTGGCTCGGGAGCTGCTCGTCTTTTGCGAGCTCGAGGTTGAGTAGCCTTTGGCATTGGCTCCTCGGTCAACTGACTTGGTGCCTGGACCTCCTGCTGCAACGTTGTTGTCTTGACCGGGCTGTCTGCAATCCTCAATGCGTCAGGGTAGGTCTTGGGAGAGACTGATTTGGGCGGGCGGTCATCCCTTCCCCGCGTAGAAGTCTCGACGCTGGCTTCTAACCGCTGGACCTGGCTTTTGATGAGGTCAAGTTCCATCTGCAACGACTCCACTTGGTTTGCTCTGTTTCCAATTTTCGTGATATTACTGGCGAGGATGTCCAGTTCTCTCGGCATCAAGAACTCCGGTTTCGGGTCGTGCTTCCTGTGGTGAGTCTCCAGACTTTCTTTCAATTTGGCCAACTCCATCCGTATATTCGCCGTTTCTTTGGCGGTGTCCTTGGCGATACCAAGTGCATCCTTTGTAGCTTTCCTTGCACTTGCAAGCTCCTGGCGAAGATTTGACGAGGCGTTCTCCAGTTGTTGTAGCTGATATTTTGTGGTATGGACTTCTTGATTGAGCTTCTCTGTTTCAACTTTTGCATCCTGACAAAGCTTTCCGATCTCTGCAACGGCAGCGCTTGCTGTCTGAAGCTTACTGTGCAATGGCGATGTAAGAGTGTCTTGGCGGAGAGACTGTCTCATACTCACCACGTCTTTCTTGACAGTAAACATGTCCGCTGCATGGTTGTCGATGTCTCGACGCAGATTCACCATGGTCCCGTTGAGCTTCTTGACCTCGCGGTCAATCCGAGTTATGGTGTCATTGAATTGAGATACTACCTGGTACCCTGCAGTGTCAATCCTTTCAATATCCTCGCGCTGCGTTTCAAGATCGGCTTGTATGTCAAGCAGGTCGATGGATTCAGAAGCAATCGAGGCATGCCCGTCGCTCAAGCCGGAGTCGTGACAGTAGCCTTGTCGGCTGGCTTCTGGTGGTCTCAGATCCAGCGTACGGCGCACCCTCAATTCTGACGGATTGCTTTTTCTGTCAAGAAATAGGACTGAGTTTTGCCGTAGAAGAATTTGCGAGCTAACAACAGTGAGAATGAGCTACTTTGGGGATCTGCTGAACTTACTCGTCGAAAACATGGTTCACCGGACTGCTCAAACATTTGATTCCAATAACTTGTTGGCATTTCGCGCATGCGATGTCCTTTAATTCGCTGCACAAGTAGTTAGCGCTCCAGGCTTGATTCTTGCTTGAGAACTAAAACTACCGCACCATTCAGCCACCAACGTTTGTGGCTCCCCCTTTCTGATGGGCTCAACATCGACTATTTTAACGTCGCCTTTGGCTTCTAGGACCGGACTGAAATATGACTTCCCGATTTGAGTCCACAAGTTGGCAAACTTGGCCAAGTTCGCCTGACAATTCTTACATCTGCACTGAACAGCGTCCATCTTGTCGCATAGCGTAACGTGCAGTTGGCTCGTGATGTGCAGGTGCTAATGAAGATGCTCGCTGGTGAACGATGTGATAGAAGACAGAGACTCTGGCGCAATCAAGATGATGAATCCAAACGAAGGATAAAAATGACAATTATGGCGCCGCTGATGTTGACGCGGGGATTGAATTGTTTTAGTTGCGTGTTGCGACAGGGACGAAGGCACTGGCCATAAAGGTAGGTGCCATTGAAGATGCAGGTCCCTCCAGCGTCCCTACCTCCCAGCGTTGACCAGGGTCCCTAGCTGTGACCGCAGGCCCTGTGTCCTTATCTTATCTTTATCGTGTCCCATTGGCTCTCCCCGCAAGAGACCCGTAATTAAAGTTGCGTCGCTCGATTGACAGAAAGTTGGATGGACATTTTCTGGGCTCCCGGTGAAGGTGCGAAAATAATCCTCCATCTTCAACCCCACCACTTTCTCAGAGGCGCGTTGTAACCTCACCACATCTCCAACTCAGCTTTTTGGAGGTTGCTCATCATGGGCAAGAAGAAAAATCGTCAGCCCTGGAGTGCGCAATTCGCAGATGAAGCCATGGCCGACATCAACGCCCAGCCCGCCGACGCGACAGTCGACCCTGCCGTCGACAAGCCGACAGAAACCAGCAATGTTACGACCCGCGAGAGCTCATCCCAGACCCAAAGCAGCGAAAACCTTAAAAGATCTGCCCCGGACGATGATGACGAAGGATGGGAGAAGGTCGAACGATCGAACAAGAAGCGCAAGAAGATCCCCCGCGAAGGCTCCAATAACTATCCCTCAATCAAGTTCTCCACGAGCGCCAAGATCTTCGGCAAGATCAACCTAGCAATGCTGCGCGACCTCGTTCTCTACATCTTCGCCGATGGTACTGGTCCCAACTGGGTCTCAGTCTCCCATCGACCGAATTTCCGGAAGATTGTGGTATTGATGGTCCCGGGACTCGAGGAAGCCATGTTCAAGGAGGCGGTCAACTTCTCGACGTATAAATCAGGTCCTTCTAGTAACCAAGATCTGCTGGAAACGTCACCTGATGACTACTATCCTCGAGAGCTCTCAGCCGAGAAGCTGCCACTTGCGCTTCAGAGTTTCGCCAAGATGTTCCCTCACATCTGGCCGGTCAAGGCTCCCGGCGACGACAAGTACATGAAGCTTCACTCGCCTTTGGGAACATTCTTGACCGCCCCAATGCCCAAGGATAAGAGTGACAGAAAGGGCCCCAAGCCAGCTCGAGAGCCGAACGGCTGGAAGAACGAGCGCACACGCATCACTGAGTTTCTGGCATCCCTCGAAGAGCTGGAAGTCGCAGGTCACCTCATTCACCCGGCGCTCATCGAAAACGAAGAAAGGAAAGCATCTTTCAAGGTCCCAGACGGGTGGGTTGTGTCAAAGGTCGACAAACTTGAGGACGGCGACGTATCCGAATCGGAAATCGAGAAGGGTAGCGTCACGGCTGGGCGTGAATGTCTAGCACTAGATTGCGAGATGTGCATGACAGGCGAGAACGAATACTCCCTTACACGCATCAGCATCATTACTTGGTCCGGCGATGTCATTATGGACGAGCTGGTCAAACCCGAAAAGCCCATCATCGACTACGTCACGAGGTTTTCCGGTATCACAGAGGAGATGCTGAAGCCTGTAACGACGACTCTTCAAGACATTCAAAAGAAGCTGCTCGAAATCGTTACACCGCGAACAATCCTGATTGGACACTCGCTCGAGTCTGACCTCAAAGCGCTTCGTTTCTCTCACCCCTTTATTGTCGATACCTCGCTCATCTACCCTCACCCACGAGGACCGCCGCTTAAATCTTCACTCAAGTGGCTCACTCAAAAATATGTCAATCGCGAGATTCAGAAGGGCGGTGCTAATGGACACAACCCGATCGAGGATGCTAAGGCGTGCCTCGACCTCGTGCGCCAAAAGTGCGAGAAGGGAAGGCTATGGGGTGCGTCTGACTCTCAGGGCGAAAACCTCTTTCGACGCCTGGCAAGAGCCGGCACAGCATACAAGGCCCAGGGCGGCGACGTTGGCGGTCAAGTCACCGGCAAGACCAGCGCAGCGGTAGACTGGGGTGATCCGTCCAAGGGACCCGGTGCCGGCGCGACGCATCAGATCGGCTGCAAGTCGGATGCGGACGTTGTCAAGGGCGTGATTCGCGCTGTTAATGGCGACCCAGATGGCTTGGAAATCCCCGGTGGCGGCGTGGACTTCGTCTGGGGTCGCATGCGCGAACTCGAAGCACTTCAGGGCTGGTGGAACAGGAATCGGGTCGAGAACGCCAGCAGCGATGGTGGCCCTCCGGACATCGATTCTGCGGAGCTCGATCCCAAACTCGGCAGTTCAGACCTCGAGAGATGTTTGGCTCGTCTCTCAGCCCGGTTGCAGGCCATTCACGATAGCCTCCCACCTTGTACAGCATTCATCGTGTATTCGGGGTCTGGAGATCCGCGCGAGATGAGCAGACTGCAGGCGATGCAATCTCAGTGGAAACGAGAGTATAACACGCCCGGAAAGAAGTGGGATCAGCTATCGGTCAAGTGGACGGACACAGAAGAGCAAGCTCTTCGACGCGCCGTTAAAAAGGCCAGACAAAGCGTTGGCTTCATTGGTGTGAAATAAGCAGGCCAAGAGGGATGGTTTTGCAGAAAGACTCCCATCCTGGAAGTTATCCCTGTTCAGATGAGAGTCTAGGCGGTATAGCATAGACTGTCCCTAGGAATTCGGGAGGAGGATGTTGTGCACTAAAGCGGCTGATGGCTGTTTACAACTGAATGATACCCCTAGGTTTGTCATAGAGGCGGAAATAGGTGCTAGTGTAAAAAGAACCGGGGCAACGAGAAAGCCCAGGATAGTCTTATGAAGAAACGAATTAGATACCTAGTCGTCGGTTCTGTAACTCCTTCAGACGAGACTCCAAAACTCAACGCAGAAGGGCGTCACCTCAATTCTAAAAGCCAAACCAATTCGAGGCACGCAGCGCAGCTCCTTGGCAGTGAAGTGTTTCCTGTTGTATCCATGCACAGCTCACATGCCGCCGCATCGGAATTCCAGGTCCTGTTTAGCCAGGGTCCACACCCCGGTGCCACTGCGCTTATCCGTCGCAGATGCTCTGTGATTGGCTCCCCCGCCTCCGGCTGCGGAGAAACAGCCAGGCCCGAGCCCCACGCCGGCCTGCCTCGGTATGTTCTCGGAGACTCAAGTGAGTGGTGGTGCTCCAATTACAAACCATCCACCCTACCTGTTCTTCTCCAACTCGACCGACAACGCGTACCACACCCTCTACTCCTCAGACGCCACTCGAGCCGACGCTACCTGTCTCTACGCTTGCGGTTGTGCACTTCGACTGCACGTTGCACAAACCTGACCTCTTACCGACACATCTTCAGCTACCCACGGCACTGTCACCATGTCGTTCCTAGGTGGCGCAGAATGCTCAACCTCCGGCAACCCCCTCAGCCAGTTCCAGAAACACGTCCAAGATGACAACACTCTCCAAAGAGACAGACTGGTGCAGAGAGGGCCGAACGCTCTTGCTGGCGGCTTCAGGAGCGCCGGCGCAAGCACTCCACAGGATGAGGTGGGCAGACCCCGCGCTCCCGGAGTTGCACTTTGGGCTGACCGATATTATAGATGATGAACGGATTCCTGAACAAGGGACCCGGCCTTCAACAAGAGATCCCAATGCCGAACGGCGCGGTCCAACTAAATCCTGCGCAAGGCGTCCACCTCCGCGCGAACTCGACCTCCCCAACGTGGGCGAACGACTTCCAGAACCAGGCTGCTATGGAGTCCGCCTTCAATGCTCCTCCCGGCACACAATTCAGCCCCGAAGAATTCTCACGCTTCCGGCAGATGAACCAGCAGCCTTCGTCGGCCAGGGCGAGTCCGATGCCCAGCCAAATGGCGCAGCAACCGAGAATGGGAATGAACATGGGGATGAATATGGGTATGGGTTACAACAGCATGATGGGTCCATCCATGTTCCAGCCCATGTATCAGCAACCTATGCACCAGCAGCCGCAACAGGACGTTAAGGGCAAGGGAAAGCTGGTTGAGCTTGATGATAACAAATGGGAAGAGCAGTTTGCGCAAATGGAGTTGCAAGAGAAGGAAGACCAGGAGGCCAAGGCAGCCGAGCCAGAGCTTGACGAAATGGACAAAGCCATGCAATCAGAAACTGGTTTTGGTGACTTTGAGTCAATATGGAAGGGAATCGAGGCGGAGACAGCGGCGGCTAGAGGCATGGTTGACGACTCGACATTCGATAAGTTCGACAGCGAGGATTGGGGTCCTGATTTCACCGGTATGAGCAGCGACTGGGGCCGGCTGGGCGACCCGGTGGTGGAGAACTACCTTTTCGAGGAAGACAACTTCTTCAGCGAAGAGAAGAACGCCTTCGACGAGGGTGTTCGCATCATGCGTGAGGGTGGAAACCTGTCTCTTGCGGCGCTCGCCTTCGAGGCTGCGGTCCAGCAGAACCCAGAGCACACCGAGGCTTGGGTGTACCTCGGCTCAGCACAGGCGCAAAACGAAAAGGAGACAGCAGCTATTCGTGCTCTCGAACAGGCCCTCAAGTTAGACCCGAACAACTTGGCTGCTCTCATGGGCCTAGCTGTTTCTTACACCAACGAGGGCTATGACAGCACCGCCTACCGCACCCTCGAGAGGTGGCTGTCCGTCAAGTACCCCAACATTATCGCCCCGAAGGACCTCCATCCCATGGCTGAGATGGGCTTCACAGACCGTCAGCAACTGCATGACAAGGTTACTAGCCTTTTCATCAAGGCGGCACAGTTGAGCCCTGACGGCGAACATATGGATCCTGACGTGCAAGTCGGTCTCGGAGTACTCTTCTATGGTGCTGAGGAGTACGACAAGGCCGTTGACTGCTTCACCGCGGCTCTCCACTCTTCCGAACTCGGAACGTCGAACCAGCAAGAGCAACTGCACTTGCTCTGGAACCGCCTGGGCGCCACGCTCGCTAACTCCGGCCGCTCCGAGGAGGCTATCGCGGCGTATGAGAAGGCGCTCAGCATCCACCCCAACTTCGTGCGTGCGAGGTACAATCTGGGTGTCAGCTGCATAAACATTGGCTGCCACGCTGAAGCTGCTTCCCACTTCCTTGCTGCGCTCAACATGCACAAGGCTATCGAGAAGAGTGGACGCAACATGGCTTACGAGATTCTTGGCGGCGGCGACGGTGCCCGCGGCGGCACCAACACTGCTGCCCTTGACGAGCAGATCGACCGCATGACGGCACAGAACCGGAGCACCACTCTGTACGACACGCTCCGCCGGGTATTCACTCAGATGGGCCGTCGGGATCTGGCCGACAAGACCGTTGCAGGTGTTGACCCTGAGATCTTCAGGGGGGAGTTTGACTTCTAATCCGTGGCATTCTTGTGTCAGGGTTGTATAGTAGTGAGGACCTGACGTTGGCCGCCTACAGCGCCATGTTGGTTTTGGACGAGAAGCGAATGAGAATACGCCTTACGAGTACCGGGTCGCCAAGTAGATATCTATCGCATAATTTCACAAGTACATAGTACTTGGGGTCGGGGAAGGACATTCATTGAAAAGTTTATGCCACTCGAGTACTTGTTCATCCTTTGGATGGCAACGTTTTTACATTGAATAAATGTGAGCATGTCATATGGTTGGTCAGCCAATTCCCTCCATACGGCGTTCGGAAAGCGTTCATCGTGCATAATGAGCCAGTCTTCCAGTGGTCATCTTTTGCAGCGAACCCTATTGGTGACCGTGGACGCAGAAAAGAGTGTCTTGTACATCCGGACGACGGTGCCCGTCCCCGACGGAGGCAGAGACGATTACCGGGCGGGCCGGGGGGACAAACCCGCCCACTGTAACTCAGCGAATGCCCGCTACGAAACAAAAACGTGCTCAAACTCACAACTATTGACTTGGCACCCAATCTGATGCTACCGCAAAACTGTCAATCTCTTGTGCCACGAAAAGCTCAGGACCAGAGTTGACTGTAGAAAAACTCTTCAAAACTTAAGCTTAGTTGAGTCCAACATCATACAGCTTCTCTAGCAAGCTCAGAGAAGCCACCATTTGGCCGCTCAGAAGGGTCGCGGTTGTACCCGAAGGATCACATCCCTGGGCAATCTCATCGAACGGAGTCCTCCTTATTTACAAGCGTCTTCATTCATATCCTCTCAAACCTTCACCATCAAAAACACGCTCAACAGAGTTTTCTTGTCGAGAATGGGCTTCATCCTTCAGACCGGCGTCTTGTTCGCCGTCATCCTCGCCGTGGGCCTGCAGCTCGTGTTGAAAGACCCCATCAAGCTAGGTCTCGGCCTGGGAAAGACGTTTCAGCCTCTATCTGACTTTCCATACTCGTGCCGTCGCATCGAGGACAACAGGCTGCAAGCATGCGAGGACATGTGGCTGTCGGAGGCAACGCGCACGCTGTTCCTGGCCTGCTCCGACTCCCTGGCCCGTCAGCAGTGGATGCCCAAGTAAGCCGACCCCCACCCCCGAGTGCAGCCCGCGCTGCCGGAGGCTGACTCCCGTCCCCAGCGGTCATCACTTCAACATCTCGGGCCGCTCCACCCGGGATGCTGTCGTCGCTTTAGACATCGACAAGCCCAAGGATGAGGGGTTCGAGTACCGCGCTCTTTCAACGCCCGGCTTCTCTGGTACCGCTGGCGATGGCTTGCTTCAACTCGTGGGTTTGACGGGTATTGATGCACCGGAGGACGGCAAGGTTGAGCTTCTCTTGGTCAACAACCGCCCTCCGGTAGATGCCGTCACGGGCGAGCTGCTCAAGGAGGCCAATGAAGGCGCCAATGCTACAATTGAGGTGTTTGAAATCGCCCCCGCGGCGACGGAGATGAAGCACATCCGAACCTTTGCCAATGCCAACATCTCCACGCCCAACAACATCGCCGCCCTCTCTAGCACTTCGTTTTACTTTACAAACGACAGTGGGGACAAGAAGAGGGGACTGGTGAGATAGCGGGTTGCCCGTCGGCTAGTGCACTACTAACATTCTCATTACAGGGATTCTTCCTGAGCGGTTTCTTTGGTCACGGCGATGTGTCCTACTGCTCTACCGAAGGATGCAAGCGCATATCGACGCACCACAGGATGCCCAACGGCCTGGTCCGCGGTCACGACGGGCTCATCTACGTGCCCAGCGCCATGGCCGGCGGCGTCCAGGTGTACAGGATCAACCCGGAGACGGACGGGCTCGTCAAAGTCGCCGACATCCCCGTGCCCTACGCCATCGACAACCTGTCCGTGGACGGCAAGGGGGACATCTACGCCGCGGTGTTTCCGCGCGGGATAGAGATTCTACAGGCCTCCGAGGACCCGCTGAACGCCAGGCCGAAGAGCGCGGCGGTGCGGATCCGCAAGGAGGCTGATGGCGAGTACGTGTGGGAGAAGGTGATTGAGGACGGCACGGGAGAGCTGCTTCCTGGGTCCACGACTGTGGTTCACGATGCGAATACCGGGAGGCTGTTCTTTGGCAGTAAGTGGACATGAATTTTCCCATTGTGAATTAAGGCTGACTAGTTTAGGTGTGACTTCGCCATTTATTGCTGTGTGTGAGCCAAAGCCTTGAGGTGTTGGGAGAGGTTTCATGTCTGTATTAGATTGGTCCAGTTCTTCTCACATCCCTTTATTGGAGTAAAATAACTGAATATAACACTCCTGTTCTAGAAGTACTACATGCCTTTCTGCTGGGAAAGGATATGTGGCTACGTGCAGAGGCACGCTGGGCAAAAGTGCAGGATTTACACATGTCGCCGGCAGAAGGCTCTCGATCGCAACATATGTATTTAGGTCGTGGCCGTGTGTCTTATGATCATCGGAAATTTTCTACCATTTCTGAATGAACGCGTGAAGTAAGGGCAAAGCTTGCCGAAGCACATCAGGATTCCCCAATCCAACCCTGAAATATCCCTTGAAATCTTCGTTACTGCCTTCGCTGAAGCACACGCCGCCCGGAACTAAGCAGATGCTCTCTTCCACTTGCAGCCTCTTGCAAAACTCCCCATCATCGACAGGTACTCTCGCTTGATCCAGGATCTGAATGAACGCCATGCCTGAGCCTTGTGGCTTCACCCAGCGAACACGTCCGCCGCTCTCCGCAATAAAATTATCAAGTAAACCAACGCTCTCTTGGCACAGAGAGATGTTGCGCTTCATCATGTTCGGCATCACCGCTGGATCCAATGCAAACGAGGCGACACTGTCGTCAAGCCGAGACACAGTGATGGTAGTGAAATCGCGTTTCGTAGTAATCTACTTCGTCAACTCTGGACTCCTCGTCACAATCCAGCCAAGTCGTATGCCGGGAATAGAGAAGGCTTTTGATAGGGAACCGCTGGCAATGGTGTTCGTATAGCCTAGATTGACAATTGAAGGAGGCTTGGGCGAAGTGAAGACTAGCGGGTTGAACACCTCGTCGCTAAAGACGACGATGGAATTTTCACAAGCGATCCTAACCACCTCCCGTAGAAAGCTCTCTTCAAGGACGGTTCCTGTGGGGTTGTTGGGACTACTGCAGATTGGACATTAGCTTGATTTGAGAGTCGTCCAACCCCGAACATGGACTTCTTACTTGAGAATAATTGCCTTCGTGTTGGGTCGGATCAACCCGGCGAGCTCTTTGGTGTTTGGTAGCCAGTTGTTGGACTCGTCCATTTTCCAAAGGCTGACATCGACGCTGCCGAACTCTGGTACCAGATAAAGCTGCCCATATGTTGGGTACTGACAGATCACATGGTCTCCGGAGCCACATATGGTATCCAATATTAGATAATTGGCCATAATGGAACCAGGAGTAATGATAACGTTGCTCGGATCTATCTTATCTTCGTTCGTAGAATGCAGTGCGGCAATTCGCTCCCGGAGCCGATGAGATCCCTCAAAAGGGCCATAGCTGAGCTCCAGATTATGGTCGAAGACTTCTAGTGCAGGGTCTGTCGAAAGTGACTTGAGATTGTTGATGGAGAGTGCTTGCGCATAAGAGCCTAGGAAAGCTGTGAGCCGACAAATTGCAAGACAACGTGACCTCCAGGTTGGAATTTCACCTTCTAAAGCGTATCGGTTGCCATCCTCATGCAGATTCTTAGCTTTGGCTGGTCATGAAGGGGCATATGACTTAACTCACACCGTAAAGGCGCACTGTTGAAAATAATCAGTAATCGAAAACAATTGAGTCTCGCTGAGAGAAAGACGAGAGACAACTTACTCCATTCATCAATCTTAAAGTCCCGTACGTTCTTCATGTTGATGTTTGTGAGCTGCTTGTGCTGGCCAAGTTGGCATTGGTGTCGACGAGGCAGTCTTATACTAGATTCGGAGTCACGATCTCGGAGTCTATCGAGGGCATGCGGTCTAAATGTCGAAGGACGTAAGCCGAGGCTAACCGCAATACGACGCCTAGAAAAGGGTTGGTTGTGTCAACAACCGAACCTGGGTATATCATGCATGTGGGAGGACCCATCCAAAGTAAGGACAATGGTTCCTTGTGGAACTTGATTTGAGGCAACATCATACAACCAGAATTGGAGTGAAGGCGTGTACAAAAGATGTGTAAGCGACACGGATCAATCAATTTATTGAGAGTCTTTGCTATGGTAGACTTCCACCTAACTTGCCAGACACTCTCAGATATTCTGCCGCTGTAGCGTTTCTGCAATACGGCGTCTGCGAATGTTTGCTTGGCGCCTCTTGAAGTCAATGAGCATGCTCCATCCCTTTGACAACCAAATGTGTGTTTTAGCTCCCCCAAGGTCGCCCCGATCTCGGAGCTCTAGCAACAAGTGGAATTCTCAAGGTCAAAGTCCCGTCCGTATGGAGACGCCAATCCTGCTAGCATTTGAGCCAAGATAATAGTCGTACATCTGTCAGAACCCCCCGCAAGTACTTCGCTAATTTTTCAGATGCCGGGATGTGTACCATGGCGAGACACTGATAATAACTCTAGAGAACAATCAGCCCATGAGAAGACGGCTGAAGTGATCGACAGAGCAAGAGAACGGAGCCGATGATCGAAACGCGTTACGAAGCTAAAGAAGGTTCCATTTCGTTGAACACTCAGTGTTCGCAAACATACACCGCATGTCAAGTACTCCCTACGGTCCCTACAACGCGCCTTACACGCCGTGCGTCATAACTTACAGCGGAGACTTCCCACACACGAAGGCGATTTTGGTGAGAAAGGAGTAGTCCAGTGTCGACCTTGGCTGCTCAGCTGCGGACACCTCCGCTTGCGCCCTGTCCTAGAAGGGTTCTCTGCCGGCTCGAGAAACTCGCTCTTACGCCTCTCTGGAGTTTGTTCTGATACAGAGGTGAATGCGTACACTGCATATAGATATAGAGAAGTTAGGAAGGAATTGGGAACCACGAAAGCTCTGACGTTGTTGCCTTTCCGCTTGTTCTGCCAAGACGTTACCGCTCAGCATCATGCCCATTCATGTGCCAGCCATCCTATGACTGATTGCATTGATTACTGAGCAACGAATTGAACACTTTGATAGCTTAGAGTATCACCACCTGAACCGCCACCCGGTTGAAGCACCGCAGTGCTTGTGAGAAGTAATTAGGGGGGGTATGGCACAGCCGGAAGAATGAAGTCACTCACTTATGCAATTCACCTTATCCACTGCTCCACAGTTAGAAGAACAGTATCAATACAGTCATATCGATTTACTGATGAGCCATGTAAACCTGAAAAAACTGATATCGACAGCTTTAAGCAAATGAACCGAGTTGTCTTCAACAGCCGTCGGTTTGCAGATTCTGAAATTCCAGTCTCAGGAACGTCTCCAAACTCGTCCGGGTTTGTGTTGGCGTTTTGTCTCCAGTCCTATTGGCGCCTTCGGTCTGTCAAGACTCAACCATGCACTCACTCATCAGAATTTCTCGCAATGGCATTGTCGACTCTCAAACACTTGAAATCGATTCATATGCGGATTCCAACGAGAAGGGGTCGTTCTAGAAGTTACTTATCAATGTAGCACAAGAGAATGAACCCCATCTATGGCCTGAAGCCTTGCTTTTGGACACTTTGCCCATGGCATATTCACGCGCCTCACGTCTCTTACTTCACAATTTTATCACTTTCTTTAAGTAACCTATTCAACAATCAACGATCTCTACTTCGGGTCCGCCGTCTATATGTGCGTGTTGAAACCATCTGACGTCCGAAATTAGCTTGGTATGACGACCGCGCGATAGACTCATCGCGGTGCTGGACCGGTTAGATGCGCGACTCCAATTGAAAGACATCGTTGAGGCTCTCACAGAACAGCTTGCCAAGCTTGTGACTGGTTATCTAGGACGTCCTGCCTGAGGCGATGATTGGCCTGGAGATATATGTACGTGCATCACTAGTTCGTAACCTGATCTTGGAGTCCACGTTTCTTGAGAGCCTGGATTGCTGCAGTCTATCTACCACCCGGCGATTGAGTTATAACAGAAGTACGACCGGTATGCCAGAACCAAAGCTCAATTAAACGATTGAAAAATGATGCACGAGTTCCCAAGTAGGTACGTTAACGAAACATGTCACTAACCAGTTGCGACTCGACAGGCCGATTACAGAAGCGGAAATGATGCAACTTGAAGCATGTGGCAGTCGGAGGTGGCCCCGTTTTCAGAGTGCCAACCACGTAGTCAGCAGCGCCAAGTCGCAGAGTCAAATTTACATGGAATTCGATACCACGTGGGAGACAGTGACCGAGACAACTGACTCTTGTATCTGCAGTGCTCCATCTTCCTGTCTGCAATATGGAAATTCGACCTCTGTGTAAAGGAAGCAATTGTCGTTCCAGAAGCTGAACATGGGAGAAATGGAATCATTCGCAATACCGTCCCATGTCTTCTCAGTCTTCCCGGGTACCGACCGACACCCCTAATAAGTGACACAGCATCTGAGTTGCCGTCCTGTCACAACTCGCAGGCTGCATCACATGCCAAAAAAAAGGAGCCCGCAGCAATCCAAGACCTTCCCCGGACGGGCATCCCTGGGGACGGATTAGCGCCATCTCAACCGTGCGTCATAGGGACCTGTGGGGGAGCCGGGGGGGCTGGTACTCCTGAAGCGACATCTCCAGCGCAAATCCACAGCGTGTCGTGCCGCAGCGCAGCGGCAGCGTGACTCGTCCAGAGCCGAAGCCATGGACATCCGAGGTACACCTGCCGCACCTGGGGTGTCCCAAGGTCCCAAAAGTCCGTCACTCCATCCCGTCCGTCTGCCGTAATTGACCACGTCCGCCGTGGCCTTTCTCTCTCCCCGAACAACCTTACACACCCTTCCCTTCGCATGCGCAATTTGACCGATTGATCTTTGCATTCTTTTTCTGTAATTGCAGCATTTTATCACTGAAGACCCATGCGCTGAGCGGAAGAGTGCCAACTCAAGAGCGACCGTTCGTCGTCGCAAACACCATCATCTCCCCACAGCGAGCTGCGATTTGCCGAGGCTAGCCAGGCCACCCCCGTTCTTGTTGCCAACATGTCGCTCGCCGCCCTCGATGGCCTCAAGGTACGATTGCGGATGCATCGTCGAATCAATTCTGCCTTCGCTCGGCCCCAAATGCTAACGCGCAACCCAGGCCGCGATCGAGCGCATCATCCTCGACCCCAAGTATCACGACATCCTCGCCGTCGTCAAAGGCGCCCGCAATGGCGCTGTCTACGGCACCAAAGTCCGCTTCCCCCACGCGCTTGTGTACGTCGCAGTCTCCGTTCCAGATCCGCAGCATTGTGAGCTTATCTAACATTCTTCCTTTGACAGAATGATCTTCCTCTTCCGCTCCGGAACGTACGTCTACCTCCCCGCATGTCTCTCCCCCCGAACCCATCGTTAACACCCTTCTCCCTCACAGCTTCCAACAAAAAGCAAGCCTTGTATTCAAAGCCACCCGAACCCACGCCCGCAACCTCGCAAAGTTCGCGACAATCTACAAGGGCACAATGTACCTCCTCAAGCACTACGGCCCGACCCCGGGCAAGGAGGGCCCCTACGACTCCTTCTTCGCGGGCCTGTTGGGCGGCTACCTCGTCTTCGGCGGCCGCTCCCCGCGCACCGGCAAGATCTCGAGCGTCAATCAGCAAATTGTCATCTACGTCTTCGCCCGCGTCGTCCTCGGCCTCGCCCGCCTCGCCGTCGCTCCCGGCAAGGGTCTCCCCGTCGTTAGCCGCGAGGACCTGTCCGCCAAGATCAGCTACTACGCCTGGCCCGTCTTCGCGAGCACCAGTTGGGCCATGGTCATGTACCTCTTCCGCCATCACCCGGCCGATCTGCAGCCCAGTCTGCGGAGCAGTATGAATTACATTTACGTACAGAGCAGCGAGTGGGACTCGCTCCGAAACTTCATCTGGCATAACAAATAGACGGACAGGCGCGTGTGAGATATACCACCACGATGAGATTTTGGATGCCTGCGATCATCTTTGGCGCTGTTCTGTATTATGAAGGCAAGGTTTGGCGTTTGGAGGAGGTCTTTTGGACGGTGGGCTTTCTACAGTCATGGGGGGAACGGATGTCCCTGCCCGCACATCGGAGGCAATGTTGTTCTATTTCTACAACTTCATGACGTGGCGTTATAGACCAGTCTTATCTACCATACACAATAACGAATTTGACTTGAATCGGCTTGCGCCAGACGCCCCGGTCTATCTATATATGCTTCCACCCGTTCTCCCACATGATCTGCATCTCGTTGATGAGACACATTTCCCCCGGCTCACTTCGCGGCAACTCACTCGGCGGCGTCTCATCAACCCACTGCCGCAACTTCTTCTCGACTGCCCACCGCTCCAACGTAAGCTGGATACCATTTCGCACCCTCAGATACCTATTCGCCCAGAATCCAACCACCGCAGCCCACGGCGTCGGGAACCGGTCCATCTTCGTCTGCTCAAACACCTTCTCGTTGTACCCCACGCGCACATTGGGGTTCAGCCATACCCCTCTCTCGCGACTGAGAGGGTTATCCGCATGGATCAAACAACACTCCGACCCCTCCAGATGCATCGCCGCAAGACTGTCCTCGACACCGCGGAACCGCAGTCCCTCGTCATAAAACGGCGCCGCGTCGAACACGACCATGCCATTCCAGCACGATTTCACCTCCACGGGCTCCATCGCCTGCGCAGACGCCCGCGCTCGCGAGCTATGAAACCACTGCCAGTACCATGACGCCGTCTTTAGGCCCGCGTCATCGCGCAGCGCAAAGGTGTCGTAGTAATACGGCCAGAGGATGAAGTCCATGGCGCACGCGGCGGCGTAGGCGCCCCCGCGGGTGCCCAGAAGCATGTGCACCTCGCGCGTCTCGAAGACGACGTCGTTGAGCCAGATGACCTTGTCAAACCTCCTGTCCTGCGAGGCGAGGAGCTCGGCCAGGGGCGCCATGGCGCGGTTGCGCTCGCGGGCGAGGTATGTGACGCGGCGCATGTCGAATTGGTTCTCGTGGGGGTTCCATGTCCATCCGGGCGGCGGCGGGCCGAAGCCGGAGGACGGCGGAGGCCGGTCGTGGATCTCGGCGAGCTGTTCTGGGGCTGTCTTGCCGAGGATGATGGTGTTTGAGACGCCCTTTGCGTTAAGCTGCTTCTGGAGGGAGGAGAGCCTGGCTTTGGTGTCGTCCTTGGAGCCGGACTCGACGGCGGAGAAGTGCACGCGGTCGGGGCCGAGGTAGTCGATGGGCTTGAGTACGTTGGAGGATATAGGATGGGCTAGGAGGGCCCCGTTATTCCGGTGGATGCTGGCGATGAAGAAAGTCTCATTGCCGGGGTGCCGGGAGGGGATGCTGGCCGGGTACTTGGTGACAGGGCGGTTGCGGATGATGAGATAGGCGTCTAGGTCGAGGAAGAGCAGATATATGTGGAGGAGGGAGGTCCGCTTCAGGCGGCGGATGGGGAGAAGCATGACATCTGGTGTGAGATGTTAAGATGGGATTCAGAGCAAAGCGAATTAGTGCACATTGAGGATAGTCATCTGTTTGCTTTTGTCCGAGGCAAATAGCATGTCCTGGTCTATTGGAAGCATCGATTTGAGTTCTAAGTGCCAGAACTCCAGGAAGATGCGAGGGACCGATACACTTGACAGACTATGAGGCTATCACGAGCCTCAGATGCAAGTCGCAGCAAGAAATGCCAAGCTCATTTCCTACCCGCAGCGGAATGTACCCCTGGCCAAGTGCGGAGTGCATTTCCGCGTCTGCAAGGAAGCGGGCCATGTTGGTGACGTACGTGCATCGTGGCGCACGTGGCTGACGCACCAAGTCCAGGAGATTGCCGACGCCACATCGGTATCTGAATGCCGAGAATCAGGGTGCGGCGGTGAAGATTTCGATTAGTCTACAGACCCGACCTGGCCTTGCATCTTCTTACGAATCAACCAACACTTTTTGTCTGCCCATTCAAACTTGCAATTTTTACGTACAGGAACCAAGCCTCGACCCCGGCAGCGGCGCCGTCTGACTACTTGAGCAGAGTTGGCATAAATCTCTGATCAGTGGCAGAACCCTGAATCGTCTCCACCAGGACGCTTGACAACGAACCAGATGGCAGCAAGCCCACGACAAGCCTCACATTTCCAGCTCTAGCTTCTCTAGCTTCGACGAGTTTCAAAGGGTTGGGCTTGTTCCCGGCCAAATCCCGAAGTCGGCATGCAACCTGCGTGTTTCTTCCTGTGAAAGTGGAGACACTCGACCGGGCCGTTGCATGCTCCCCTCGTGGCATTTCTCAGCACGTCAGAACTTTTCCCCGAGTTTAAAGTTGTTATCGCACTTTCAGCCTCTAGTAGCATGTAGGGCGTAACAGAAAACAGCTCATCTGTTGTTCGGTTTCCAGCACCAAGACCCTGGTCCCTTGATACTGGAGACGTCACTCCCGTCCCTCCAGAACACCAATTCTCCACCTCGGCCCCGTCCCGTTGCCTCGCAGTCTCTTTGACATCGTACTATCGGATTTCTAAGCAAGCTGCTGCCAACGTGGCTCGAGGTCCCCGTCCGCCTCGATGATTCGCTGCTTCGGAGTTTTCTTCCTCAGTCATCTCCAGCATGTTGCCAAGAACGTGTCCCCCTTTGCGGGGGCCGCAATCTTTTGCGTAGTCGAGTGACTTGGGTTCGTTCGAGAACGTTGCCTTTTGCCAGGAACCCGCGGTTTGCGCCTCATAACAGAACCAAACCGCTTATACGGACGGCCTCACTGAGCTGAGCGTCACGGACCACAGGTCTTCTGTCGGTTTCACCGCTCGGGGGATGGAGGGGCGGAAGGGGGCAGAAGAAAGAATGGGCCCTCTTCCCCCGAGAAGTCAAGAGAAAGTCTGGCCGGACCCGCTTCCCGAGTTGTCGCCGTGTGGTGTTCCATCACGGGCCCCCAAACATCCCAATTTCTAAGCTGCCCCTCCAGGGCAAGAGAAAACTTCTTCGCCCAATGGATCAACAAACTCATGCGGGCAGATCTGTGGTGGGGGCATGTTGCCGAGGATCTCTTGACGATGGTGGGACTCTCCAGATGCTTCTACGGCGACACTCCTCGGGTGGGCTGTTTGTTGACTTACACGATGTTGTTCAGTCGCATAAATACCCTCAAGCCTCCCGCTTCGAGTGAAAAGTGAGTTTAAAGAGCCAGACACAACTTCAACACAGTCTCCTACCTCATACTTCTCACAAGCTCAACTACTTGACACTCTTCTCTCTTGATACCCCTTTTGTTTCTTCACTTCCAGTTCGTCCACCAGAAACACCGCTACAATGGCCGCCGAGAACACCAAGCTCTTCCAGCCCCTCAAGATGGGCAAGATGGACCTCGCCCACCGCGTCGTCATGGCTCCCCTCACCCGCTACCGCGCCGACGACGACGGCGCCCCGATCCTCCCCATGGTCGCCAAGTACTACGCCGACCGCGCCTCCACCCCGGGCACCCTCCTCATCAGCGAGGCCACCGCCGTCTCCCCCGCCGACATTGGCGACCTCAACCTTCCCGGCTTCTCCACCGAGGCCGAGTGCGCCGCCTGGAAGCAGGTCTTTGACGCCGTCCACGCCAAGGGCAGCTACATCTTCCAGCAGCTCTGGTCCCTCGGCCGCGCCGCCGACCCCGACTTCGTCAAGGGCCGCGGCTACAAGTACTGCTCCTCCTCCGACGTCCAGATGACCGGTCGCCCCGTGCCCCCCGAGCCCCTCACCGAGGACGAGATCTGGGTCAAGATCAACGCCTGGCGCGACGCCGCCAAGAAGGTCGTCGCCGCCGGCGGCGACGGCGTCGAGATCCACGGCGCCCACGGCTACCTCGTCGACCAGTTCACCCGCGACTCGGCTAACAAGCGCACCGACAAGTGGGGCGGCTCCGTCGAGAACCGCGCCCGCTTCCTCCTCGAGATCGTCAAGGCCTGCGTCGAGGAGATCGGCGCCGAGCGCGTCGCCCTCCGCCTGAGCCCCTTCGCCACCTTCCAGGAGTCCTACAGCACCGACCCGGACACCTGGGAGCAGACCATCTACATCATCCGCGAGCTCAAGAAGGCCGGCTACAAGCTCGCCTACATCTCCCTCGTCGAGGCCGTCGGCAACCCCGTCAACCTCGGCATCGTGCCCCGCCAGCCCACCGACGACGTCCAGCCCTTCGCCGAGGACCGCCCCCAGACCCTCGACTTCATCCTCGAGGAGTGGGACAACATCTCCCCCGTCGTCGTCGCCGGCGGCTACCTCGGCGACAGCGCCCGCTGGGCCGTCGACGAGCGCTACAAGAAGTGGGACGTCGCCGTCGCCTTTGGCCGCTACTTCATCTCCAATCCCGACCTCGTCTTCCGCGTCAAGAACAACATCCCCTTCACCCCCTACGACCGCTCCACCTTCTACCTCAAGAAGAGCAACGAGGGCTACAACACTTGGGAGTTCTCCGAGGAGTACGTCAAGGCCAACAGATCCGCCTAAAGGGATACATATGATAATATGCTCAGATATGTGGGCATCACGGCATAGCACTGGAGTTTGGGTTTGATTTTTAGATACACATATACCGTATAGAGACAATTACATTTCTCTTTTCTCTTGAATGGGATCTTTTTTGCCTGTGAGGCTAACACCAAAGTGGACAATTTCTTGACATGTTTCAGAAACGTATCGTGGATATTTTAAGTTGCCATTGTTAGCTTATTCAAGATGTGGTATTAGTCTGCGAGATTTGGTGCTGTCCATATACCAGTACATTAGCCGCCCGGTGAATCGAAGAATGGCGCCGTACTCGTGTGTCGTCGGATACCAACATCCCAGCAACGTCAGGGCAAGTACGTACAAGCGTACTGGAACTGAACTCATTACCATCATGAGCAATTAGTCCTCTTGCGGAGACCGTTCACTTTATTGCTGGACCCTTCCGAGACGACCAACTTGTCCTGTGGCTGTACACCTCACTATGATCTATTGTCGCTGTTGTCGTCGTCAAGTACAGAGAAAATGTAGCATTACAAACACAGAAAAGTTAGACGGTTTCTTTATTCCAAGCCCAGTGAAGTGGACACTGTTCGGATTAAGGAGGTTTATGTACTGAGGCGCCTCAGATACAGCTTTTGCGGTTTTCCATGTCCCTTCTTGTCAGTTCACAAGCTCGTCCTACGAAAACCTTCACAAGCACATGCATGCACAAACTGAAATCCGATCACTACGCAGAACGCGGAGAGCATCAGGCAGGCCACTGGAATTTCACTTTGGAGGGCTTCGATGATGCAGGGGTGAGCTGAACCGTTGTTCAGGGTAAACCCAGGGCCACAGGTTTGCTGTAACAATGTATTCCATCAAGTTGAGAAACATAACACCAACGCAATCAACACCCCCCCTCAAGAACCAAATCGGTAACCGGGAATATTGTTTGACCAATGCAACATAGCCATTCGAAATTCAATGGTTTTAGAAAACTCCGCAGGCGTTCTTGGATATCGTAATTCCCAAATGAACTCTTCCCTGCTGACGAGAGCCTCTTTCTCAGCCTGCAGATGACAATCACGCATAGCAAGTCTTCGACGACGAAGTCAGCAGTGACACACCGGGTACACTTGTGAACTGTGTCACTTCAATACTAGCATGAATGAAGTGCTATGCTGTCTTTTGGACCGAAGTTTAGCTTCGTGACTTCTTCTTGCCTCGAATAATGAAACCGATCCAGTCTGATATCTTGATGTGCCGACTAGAATGCAGTCTACGAAGCTAGCATTTAGTACTTGTGAAACCGAAGTTACGACGCGCGTAACACCGCGGCATTGGAGGACAACACAAACCCAGAACCAATCCTGTGAAGCCTGAGCGCATGTGGATTGCTTGACATAGCGTGCACAGGTCGATGCCAACAGACTTCTTGTGGTCAGTTACTGATCATGCAATGTCATCGATGACGAACCAACCTGGTCTTCGAAACAGATGAGGACTCGTTTCGCAAGAGGACAAAGACTGGATGCACTCAGAGACTACACCCGACAGCTAGAGACGAGGAATCTATTCAAAGTCCCTACAACTTCTATTAACTGTATGACAACAATTACAGCAAAGACGAAGGCGAACATTGAGCATCAAACGAAAAGAAAAATATCCTTCAACTTGATTTTCAGAGTTCAATCTGTGCTACAAGGAAAATTTTAGCCTCTGATTCGAAGCTGGGCTCTTTGTACTAGGCTGTCTCTGCTGCTTCGATCTTTTCGCTACATGCCATCTGTTTCTATCGCGTATACCAATGTAAGTTCTTTGCAACAGTGAAAATGTTTAAGCAGACGAGAAAGACGTCTAGCTTGCTTCATTTCACTTTGTGGACCGTGTGCCTGTCGATGAACACTGAGCGCGTATCACAAGTAAGATGAAAGACTTTAGTGTAGGTGTGTAAGTCGAAACTCCATTAGGAATGTCATGATGCTCCCACACGCATCAACATGAAATCAGCCAACACCATCAATCAACTAACTGAAATTCTCACACGCGCTACTCATCACCTCGCAAAAGAGTGCCGTTAATACTTGGCAGCCCACCAAACCCATCGAAACCCGCCCCAAGAACCCAAGCCCACTTTCATAACGCCTCCTCCCCGCCTCGACCCTCAAGCAAGCAAGCTCGAGTCCTCAGGACAAGCGGCCGGTTGGCCCAATGGCAAGGCGTCTGACTACGATTCATAACCAAAAGATCGTGCAACCAGGAGATTCTGGGTTCGACCCCCAGGCTGGTCAAAACTTTTGGCAGAAAATGCCGCTCAGAGGCTTGGAAACTAATGTCGTGGGGTTGGTGTAAGTCCGCCGCATGGTGGATATCGCAAAGAATTTTTTTTCTTTCCTGCCACGCGCCAGCCAGCGCGCCAACGTGGGAAACCCGCTCTAATGGTCCACCACACTTACCTAACTAACCAAGCTTGACTGACCCCGGCTCTGTCGACAACTCATGAACCATGGCCATAGTTGCATAGTTACACGAGGAGAAAAGGGGAATTTCCAAAAAGTTACTTAGATGAACGGATGCAGAGGAATCGTTCGAGAATCCTTCGTTGTATTCTTCGGTGGGACTTGGCACAAGAAGTCCGAATAGAGAGAAAAGCCGCATAAGTACTCTGTACATACCCCTGCAACTCCTGAAAGAGACAGAGAGAGTGACAACAACATGCAACCAACGCAGGGGGGGTTGGTTGGTTTCCTAAAACTCCAGTGACAAACAGGTCGCAACGTCAAGGCTCGCGGCGTCGCCGGCCGGCAAAGCGTGTGTTCGATGTCGATCCCCCTCATTCCCGCGCCGCCAAAACGCAACGTGGGCGCGCGACCAAGAAACCACATGGTTCATCGAGGAACCTCATAAACAAGAAACATTAACCACCACACGCACACCCCCCTACTATGTAGGTGGAGCGAGCACTGAAGAAAAGGCGTGGACCTCACATGTCGCCTTGCCCTGCCCTGCCTTCCCCCTTCTCCACACAAGGTGAACAGAGCGTTCGCACCGGGACCCGGATTGCGGCTGTGTGCCTGGTAAGGCGGAGACACAGTTTATCAGGCCTGACTCGGCGCCGCCCTTTTCCCCCCCCGCCCCCCCCCTCTCGCCAAAAAACCTCACCTCGGTCCCCCGGCTGCCCAACTTTCATAAAAGACCGGTATGGCCTTGGGCCTTGGGCGAAGCTTTGGCCATCTCGATAGACTCCCGAGCCTAGAGGGGGGGTTGGTTTGGTTGGCGGCGGCGGCGGTGGCGGCGGCGCGGGCTTGACCTGGCCCGTGTATGGATTATGCCGAGAGAACAAGACAGCAGTCATGAAAGAGGCACGGGATCCCGGGTGCCCGGGGGGAGGGGGGTGTTCGTTCAACGGCCCTTGGGATGTCTTCTCTCCCCCCCTTCTCTCTTAATTCCGTGATGCTTGTCAGTCAAGGCCGGCAAGGCCGCCCTCACAGCGTCGCAACCCGAGAAAGGTACAGAAAGATCGGCCATTTTTTTCTTTAAAGTGCTCGTGTGTTGTTGCGCCAGGATGCCATGACTTACCGGGAACCATCACGATATATTATCGCGCATCGTTCTGTACACTGTGTATCTGTAGTGTAACGCAGAACCAAGACTCAACGGGCGTCGATAGATATCATGACGGATTCGGAAAGAAAACCCTCATAGGAAGAACAAGACTGGGTGGGGTACTCTGACCTCCCGGGGCGAACGTTAGAAAGGAGATGATTACTTTTTTTCTTTCTTCCCTGCTTCTTCTCTTCGTATGCGAACCGTGACTTTTGTACATGATTATGATACACGCCGTAGGGTCGAGTCGTTATGCGACCGAGACCATCTCTCTCATCCATCAGATGGCATCTGCCCCATTTTCTCTATCGAATCCGTGGCGAAAAAATGGCAAAAAGGTCATAGGTCATAGAACAGGTCATAGAACCAGACTTTCCCCTGCCTTGGTCCCCAAGTCCCCCGAATGCGAGAAAAAGCCAGACGCCCGCCACCGCCCTTTTTCCGCGCGATGGAGAAAAATAATCCTACACATCAGAACCGTGAATCGTTCCCCATCCCTTGACACAGGGTATACACGTGTCTGTCCGCCTTCATCAGAAAGGACAGAGTCGCTTAGGCGTCCCAGTTGTTGGTCTGGTGCTTCCTCTGCTCCTCGGCCTGAGCAGCATCGCCCTCGGCCTCCCTGGCCCGCGCGTTACGAGCCCTGCGGTTGTTGACGGCTCTGGGGTCTTCTTCCTGCTTGCTAACCGCAAAGTTGACCCTGACCTCACGCCCGCGGAGAACCTTGCCCTCAATCGCGGCTCTGGCCTCCTGCGCAGCCTCAACCGAGTGGAACTGTGCGTGGGCAAACCCGCGAGGCCAGCCCGTCATCTTGTCGACCGCGACACGCACGTCCTTGACATTCTGGAAGACGCCGAAAAGCTCGTTCAGCTCCGCGTCGGTGGCCTCGAAGGACAGGTTTCCGATGTAGAGCGTGTCCGTCGGAACGTTGTTGTCTACGGACCGACGTTCGGGCCTTGAGCGTCTCTCAGAGTTCGGAGCCTTGGCCTCGGTCTCCTTGACGGCGATGCGACGGCCATGCCAGAAGGTGCCGTCCACCTCCCGAACGGCCTCCTGGACGGAGGCTGCGTCCTTGTAGTAGACAAAGCAGAAACTGTATTCGAGCCATGTCAGCAAACCATTCTTCATCGTTCTCCCCTTTCTGCTTGCGTAAAAGCTATCGCGAGGGAGAGGGAACGGGGCAAGGATTAACAACGTACGTCTTCCTGGGAGGCTGCGAAACGCCAACGACCTCTCCAAACTTGGCAAAGGCCTCAGCGATCTCGTCTCTGGAGACCTTGAAGGGGTAGTTCTGGACAAAAATGCAGTGTTCACTCGGGGGAGGACGGTTCGCGCCCTCGGACGCATACTGCTGCGACTGCTGCTGCTCCTCCTCGCACAAGGCGATGGAGCGGGAGAAGGCCCTCGGGGCGGCGACGGAGAAGCATCTCACAGCGTTGGCGGAGCGCAGGGCAAAGGCGATGGACTGCGTCTTGGGCGCGGCGGACGCAGCGGCCGAGATGGCGCTGGTCAAGCTGGCGCGGGTGGCTGCACGACGAATGGACTGCCTGTATGTCGGGGGGGCCAATTAGCTCCAGTTCGTGCGCGGCATTCCGGTATGAAAATCTCGACGATAGCAATGGTGTAAGACTCACATTGTGAAGGATAATGGTCCTTGGGAGTGGGTGGGATACGGTAGACGACGATGGCGATGTGAGCAGACGGAGGCAATCGACTGACGAGCGAAATGGAAATTTTTGGTTTGCCGTGTAAAGTGGTCTCGATTGGGAACGCGCTAGCCCACATTGGGCTCTAGCGCACACAGCCGTGACCCACTCCGAACTTCAGTCCTCACGGCAGGCACTAACATTACCATTCGATATTTGCAGATGCTCTGTGTCTTTGAACGTATTTCACATACGTCTATGCTACCTAGGGATCAAGTTCACGAAAAACACTGTACTTCGACTCAAAGGTCTCGGATTCATCTAGACGATTAAAACTTGTAGCTCACTGGCTACTCGACTGCCCAACGAGAACCAAGCTCGTCGCTGGGAGACGGACTAGATCTCACCTAGCTCCGCCCCGGTCAGTTGATATTGTCAGAATCCATGAAAAGCGTCAATCATCGAACCTGCCCCACGGTTTCCCCATAACTTTTGATTTTTCTTCCCGACGCAAGGCTTGGGATCTGATCACGATCCCAGCCGACATTGCTTTAACATGGACCAACACGTGGGTATATACACCTGAACACACCGACCCCTTCCTGTCCTCGCCATACCGATACCCCGTATCAATTTTGCTTTCCAAAACGCAAGAGAAAAAAAAATGGCGCCGTCTGACTTTTTATCAACCGACGAAGCACGAGGGTATCAGGGCGTCCCTCGCTGCCAGCAATCCACTGGGCTCGGACTGACTGAATGTGACCTGCTGGCGTAGAGCAGCGTATTGGCACATTCGACACAAAAGATAGGAGATGCGATTCTCCCGACAAAAAAAAAGAGAAAAGCATAATCTCAGGGTACAGAACTGTAATAAAACACGCGAACCTCTCGTGAAGGTCACGGACGGTGGAACGTTGTTTTGACTGGGTCCACCAAACCATCATCCCGCGTTTGCGATTTGCCGCTCTGGTTGATTCAAGTCGGCGTGATTTAAGAGATGATGAAGTGTATGCTGCTAGGACTTGGGCAAGGTTCTTTGTTTGCTCAATACCTCGCCTCTGCAGGACGATAACCGCCGTTGACTCTAGGTGCTTCGTACTGTACGCCGGTCATAGAGTCAGGCCCATTGGGAATCGCGCCGTTCAGCCCTCTAATAGGCGGGAGCTCGCGACGACTTGTGTAGGGGTCCGTCTGATAAGGTGCTTGCTGAGGGGGCGGTGGTACTTGGGCTTGCGGGGGAGCCTGGCCTGTTGGCGCTTGTTGCATTCGGAGGTTGTGCAGTTCACTCTGGAGACGCTGAATATCAACTCGGAGGTTATGATTGTCCTGTCGCATGGCGTCGTTCTCCTGCATCACGGTACTATTTTGTCCCTGGACAATCCGAACGACATCCGCCATACGCTGGTGCTCAGAAATTGCTGCAACTAGGTCAGATATCTCCCGCCGCGACCGAGGTTATCGTTAGTTACTTACCCTTTGTAAGAATTTCCCACTTGGAAGCTTTGGAACCCCGCTCTTGGGGCATCAAGTCTCGCAACTGGTCGAACAGTTCCTTCATTTCCGTTCTCCTCTTTCGCTCCGCCAATTTATGACTCTTACGCAGCTCTGGGGTGCGGCTGTACGGCTGGGCTCCTGTTCTCGAGGCGGCGTCGTCATCGCGAAGATCTCCGATCTGCTTATGTTGCAGCGAGTGGTGGTGTACTGGAGGAAAATCGGATGAGGTGCTCGAGAGGCGGTTGTTGAAGTCGGTAGGCTCGTCCAAGCGTCTTTGGCCCGGGGGCAACCTCGATTCGGTGGTAAACTGACTGCTGGCGATGGATTCGGCAACGCTACTGCGTCTGGAGTCAAGGTAGGCATCGTGAGGCCCGATTCGCTGAATCTCCTCCTCCGGGAAGGCCCAAGCTTGACCCTTAGTCGGCTCGGCAGCCCTCGCGATGTTGCTGGTAGCGGGTCCGGTGATGGCGGGTGCGGTTCGGATGATCTTTGGATTAGGGTCAGGATTTCTATCATTACTTGGCTGGTAGCCGTTGGAGATGCGGTGTACCGAGAGATTGTCCAGACCCTGACGCGGGTTCCTTTGCTGGTTAAGAGTATTTTGAATCGACGTTGTCGACTGGTTGTGACTTGCGTAGGGGGAGTTTCCGCCTAGCCTCATCTCGTGAAAACCCTGATTTATCCTGCTGTCGACACTCTCTCTGCGTGAAGCGGTGCCGAAGTCTTGAGCAAGCAGTTGCGGATCCGAGTTCAAGGACGTCGGTCGTTCGAATCTGCGCGGATCGGCACTCCCGGGTGTCGTCGGCGAAACCATGGAGGCGACGCTCATGTTACTCGCGGGCGACACAAGGGGTTGGGGTACTAGGTTCGCGGTGACTGGAGAGGGCGTCTTGTCGGCCAACGATGACTGGTAGCCTGAGCCGGTGGGACTGAGGACGTTGCCTACACAGGAGGCAGCAGAGTTGTCTGTCAGGGTGCGTGTTAGCTAAATGGTCGTTGCATCATTCGTAATGACTCCACCGTCGACGTACGCTTGCTGGATGCATCTGTGCTAGAGAAGTAGGCCGAGTCGCGGTTCTCATCTGGATTCAAGACCCCTGCCAACCCCGCGGGCAATTTCTGAGAGATTGGTCGCTGCGCGTCCATGTTGTGTGTTTGTCGTAAGCTACTGGGAAGAACGAATGCTGAGAGCTATATCGAGCGCAAGTCGGTTCGAGACGGTGGTTGGGGTCGACGGCTCAAACGTCTAGGGCGAATGACTCTCGGGCGAGGCGAGGAAGATTAAGTAGACGGGCTATGTGCGCAGTAGTACCGTTGAGAACAATCGAATTGTCCGTGGCCCGTTGACGAAGATCATGCGATGACGGCAGCCTTTTGAGAAGGCGTCTGATAGTCGCAGGCTGGTCAGATGGTTGGGATTTGAAGGTAAAGAGCGTGTGGTGTTGGATACGGCGGTGATGAGGAGGTGATGGTGGAAGGCGAAAGCGACGGCGAGGATGCAGGACGCAGACGAGGTTAAGTTGGACGAAGTCAAGGAAACAAGGAGGAGAGGTCTAGCAAACTCGAGGGTCGGCGTAGGCGAGGGCGGGTGGAGGAGAAAGACGGCTGGAGGCAGTCGGTTTCAAGACTGGGAAGAGCTGGGGGTGGAGGGGATAAGATGGAATTGAACAAACGGCAGCGCTAGGATGACTTGGCCTGAGTAGAGCAGCCAGACGTGTAGACGCAGACACAGACGCAGAGCGAGAGCAAGAGCCACAGCCAGGAGCCAGTAGAGACCCACAGGAAAGAGCGAAAGAGACGGCACCAGGGAGAGCGACGGTCTTCGTACCGTGCAATGTACCTCAGCCGGGGGGGGGGGCCACGGTTGCACAGGTCAAGCCAAGGACAGGGCAAGACACAGGGTTTCTGGGGACAAGGGGGTAGGGGCAACGAGGGAGTGAGGGTAAACTATCCATCTCTGCTGTATCCGTATGAATACATGCACAAGTACCTTACGTTCGTTACCTTACCTCACATGGGGGGAGCAGCGGATGGGGATGTGGCCTGGCGCTGATTTGGATTGTGCCTTGGTTGGTCAATGGTACGAATACCTGGGTCAGATGTGTGTATCTTATCCCACATCCCATTCCCTTTTTTTCTGGCCAGAGGGGCACAGAAGACTGACGAGGACAAAAGCAACGTGTGTACTTTGCAGCAATTCAGAGGGGGCACAGAGATGCAGGTCCATGTTCACGTCCACGTCCAGGTCCAGGTCCAGGCGAGCGAGTTGACGCAGCATCAACAGCAGCAACGCAACTGACTGGGTGTTTGTGATCTGGAGAAGAGTGAGGGGAAAAGGTTGGGCAAGGCAGGTAGGTAGTGTGTAGGTAGGTAAGGTACCTAAGCTGGTAGGTGGGCGAACGAACAGGCGCCGGAACATGGACGCTGGAGTGGCACTGGCGTCCATCCGTAAGGTAGGTAAGGCGCGGGCAGGTAGGGTGCCTAAGTGTGAAAGTGGTGAGGTGAGGTGATGTTAGGTTAGGTGCGTGCCTCTTGATCTGGGTCTGGTCCTGGTCCTGGCTCGAGCAACGGCAGGCCTTTCCGTCTGGTTCTCGCGCTTGCTCTTGTTCTTGGTCTTGTTCTTCACCTTACTGCGGTAGGTTCTCCTCCTTCACTGTTACCATCATCACCATGGAACATACACTATGCAGTATCAGTATCCGTACCGTATATCCATCGACACAACCACCTTCTTCCTGCGTCTCTTGCCGAAGAGCTGCCGCCCATCCTTGCGATGCGCCGTCGACCTGAAAATAAGGTATCTTAGCTAAGGTGTTATTGCGCTGCGCAACCATGGGCGGTTAGGTACTACCGTGCCGTGTCCTGTCCTGTCCTCGCAACCTGATTAAAGTACAGGCGTAGCCCGATCGAGTGCATGTACCCGTGCTCTTTTGGGGTGCCGCTGCCAGCCCACCCTCCGCTCCGTCCAGCCCACGCCTCCAGAGACAAGGCAGGGGGGGGGGGTTCTAGCGTCCATGTCGACGCAGACGAGAAAAGTACCTCGTCCGTAGGTACTGTAGACCCGGCATCACCTCAGCGTGCCTGCACACCAAGTCCTATTCCACCTCTTTGTCATACCCTGCGAGCCCGCGCCGTCGTGCCACAAAATGGCAGCACAACCGAACCTTGCTCGGGTGGTTTTGCCCACGCATGGGCGCTGTTGGCGTTTCTTATTTCCCGGCCTGCGCGGTAACGGATACCTGCGATGGCTGTCCCGCCAAGCCCATCATCCCTGCCCGCACGCCCCAGAGGGACAGCTCCATCACCACCTTACCTTGCAGTGTACATGGCGTCCAGACAGCCCAGCCTGGTCTTGCCCATGTATCGATACGCACGCCCTCGTGGATGTGCCAAACCACGCTGGGAAGCTCAGGAGACGTCTCCGATGTGAGTGGGGTCGCGGCCCTCACATGCATCGAGCATCCATCTGCTTGTCGTGTGGCATCCATGGCAAGGTTTTTTTTTTCGTCGTGGCCGTTTATGTGCCTGTGTATCCGTCGCGTACTTTACAGCACACCATGTACGCAATACGTCTGTGGTGCGTGCCTCCTCTGTTGTTAAACTTTGTCCTTGGTGATGATAGCCATTGCAGAACTGTCGAGTACAGAAGAATCATGGGCCTCTTCTGGCGCCGTCGAGGAACAGATAAAAATATCCAATGAAATGAAGCAGTATATCTGAGATCCTGTCGTCTCTCTATCCGTGCGCGACAAGCCCTGCCCGGCGCCTTGGTCTTCTCGTTGTTTCTTCCCATGCGTCTGGCAATTGGCATCCGCCATCCGCGCCCGCGGTTCCTGGAGCCCTTGTAGACCTGGAAGCACAAACCCTGAATCATCATCATAAGTATGTGCTCTGTACATAGTAGTGGGAGGATGAACACCCCATGCGACACAGCAGCAGGGCTCCAGATCGCAAATTATGCCCTAAACTGTAGGCTTGTTTATCGCGTAATTGGCTGGCAGTTCCGTTGCACATGAACCGGCATTGTCCGTTGGTATACAGACACCATAGTAGACACTGGCCCTCATCAAATTGTCGATGCCAGACCAGAACGGACCCAGGTCGGGCAGGCATGTTGGTCAGGCCAGACCTGTCCCAAAGCCGGGTCTCGGGCAGCGTGGAAGAGACGCCCAGCGTTAAAAGGAATGGGAGTTGATGGATCATGGAGGAAGCCGACGTCGGGCCCGCTGTTTTCATGTTTCGTCTCACAATTGATCGACTCCAAATATGCCACCCGCTGTCGGGGCTTGCGAACTGGCGGGGGTAGAAGGAAGCCGGCGGGCCATCATGGCGAGACAGGCCCTACAGGACAGGCCGACGAAGAGGGGGAAGAAAGCCGGACCGATCATGTCTGGAGTGTGCCACTTGTATCCTGCATCTACGCCATCTGGGCGTCACTCTCGTTATTCAGGCTCGGAGTCTGGTCCGGTCCCCGATCCAGCGACTAGAGCGTGCTGTATTTGTTTGCAGCCGGAACATGATCGCCAGCGTCCGTTCCGGGAGGAAAGCACGTCCGGATAGGCCGTGTTGCTGCCGCTAATCATGACTGGTAATCATACGGGGGTGCAAGGCACCGCGCTTTAGAGGCCGGCCGAGAATTCCAGCGGCGTCAATAAGGACCGCGGCTCACGGAGTGCCAATGCTGGGATGAATTATCCGCATGTGTGCACTCATATAGATATGGTACCTAGGTATTATTGGCAGGTCCTAGAAAAACTTACTCAGTGACAACCCCAGCAGAAGTGAGTTGATAGGAGTCGCCGACAGCTCACAAAGAGGGACTTGCGGGCTGATCAACTCGTCTTGGTTGAACCAGGTCAGCATATACCTTGTGAGTGCGTGTGGTTGTGCCTGGCGCACAGCAATGGCCATGTGAATAGTACGGACAGCTCCAAATGCTCGTGTAAATGTGGATAGTTTGGGGATGGAGGAGTCAAGATCCAAAAAAGAAAACGAACGGCCATGGACCTTGACCCAAGCGCAAAGAAGCGGAGGGTGGCCCCGGGGGATACGCCGCCGGGTGATTAAAATTCTGAAGCCAAGGGACCCCTTCATCGACGAGCCCCTTTCCTCACCGAAGGAAGGGATCGGGATGAAAGGACAGGGCTGTCAGGCCAAAGGACGGGCTCCGGGCGGCGGGGACCAGTCGGAAGAGGGTGGTGTTTCTCGTCATCCCAGACGGTGATGGACAGGCGGGCAGGCGCACAGCCAAACCCAAAGCCACGAGCCAGCACATGGTGGTATGGATGGGATGGGTGAAAGTGATGGTGATGGGTTGGCCATTGGCGATCCAGCGGCAAAAGTGTCTCCAGCCCAGCAGGGTAGTTGATACTGGGCGGCATGGAGTACTGCGGTAGGTATGCGCGGGTATACTGCGTATGCTTCTGTGCAGAGCACCAACTGCCAAGTAAGCATAACCATCAATGAGGCACGGCGTGGGCTTGACCATGACTGCCGCGTGCGGTGCTTGAAGCGCCCAAAGCATTTTGGCTGCTTGCCTCGTGCGCAGCGTGTGGGGGACTAGCTGGGAGCAGCGCCGTTTGCGATGTCAACCACGGAAAGGTAGAAAGACAGGACGCGTGGTGAGGTTAGTGACTGCGTAAGGGAGGATCTGCACGTCCAATCCAATGACGGATCCATCCCGCTATGCTCGATAATCCAAGCACCCAAAAGACTGGGCCAAGGTGATGGAGCGTGGTTGGATTCCAACTGCATTCCATGGTGTACAGTGTTCGCAAGAGGCTCGCACCAGAGGCACCCGATCTCCCTTTCCTCTTCTCGCGGCACTCAACAAAAAGAAGCCACCATGGTGCTGCTGTCTGTGTCTGTGTAGGTGCGCCGGACGTCGGAAAGACAATGGACATGTCCAGCTGAGCTGTGGGTATCCTCTCTGGCCAAGAGCACGATGTTGATAGTGTACCTAGTGTGCTACCTGCCTGCTGCTCTGTCGTTCCTGCACGCTCGAGTATTATTGGAACACTTAGCAAGAATAATGCGTGCCTGTGCATACCCACCTGCTAAGATAGCTTTGGTGGCCGGCGTGGCATGCGAGACAATATGTACACAGGTAAGCAGTCTGCAGCGACCCCACGTTGGCAACCTGGCCG